GTGAAATGATGGGACATCACTCCCATGACTCTGTTGTGTTATGTAGCAGAAGGTCCCTAATGAGCTGACTTTGCTATTAATCAAAAGAGACATTATCCAGGTGACTGACCTAATCACACGCACCTCCACTCACAGCTACACACTGAATGGACAATTTTCTGACAAAGTACACAAGTTGTCCGTAACTCCAAACGGAGTCTAAACAATAAATGGAATAAGCTCTGAGAAATTAAGAATTCAATCTGTACAGAGAAAAACAGCAAGAAGAATACATACCACTTGATCACTTGCTGGCCTCATCATACGGGCCAGGACGTTCAGTAAGTCCTGTCTCTTGAGGAACTGGGGGAAAAAAAAAAAAAGAACAGCTGTAACCTCCACTTACTACAAAGAAGAGACCCTGGAGGGGGAATCAGATGTATCAAATATACTTGACATTTGCCAGTTAGTAGAAGATGACTTTTAGACCTCCTTGAAGACACTAAACTTAGAGGATTTTGAATCATGCTGGAAAAAACAAAAGGTAGACATATACGTTGCACCAGAAATTCCCTACTTACCCTGAGCTGGATAAGCATCCCCTCACAGCACACTCTACCAGAACACCACAGGTTGTAGATATGCTCGTTCTCCTGGTTCAGCTTTCCTGTACTTGTGGCTTCTTTGTTCGTTCCATCATCCCCTAGGAGTAAACCACTTAATGTGATTCCCTAAAAGTGTTGAGGCCTAATTACCACTCCCGCCTCCACTCTGACCCCACAATGATCAGAGTTTTTGGGTGGCAATACTTTGAGATCATATAGAACTCTCCTTTGAACATACATGACAACAAATGGGCATTGTTCCTTTTACTTTTAAAACTCTATTGTCTCCATAAAAAAATCATACTCTAGCATTACTACTATGTTCTTGTTAGTTAGACAGTCAGCTTCAGTATAAGTTTCTTAAGAGTAGATAAAAAATGGAACAAAATCAGTTTAAATGTTTTTCCCCAAAGTTAAAAATACTGCCCTAACCGGCTTGGCTCAGTAGATAGAGCGTCAGCCTGCGGACTCAAGGGTCCCAGGTTCAATTCCGGTCAAGGGCATGTACTTTGGTTGCGGGCACATCCCCAGTGGGGAGTGTGCAGGAGGCAGCTGATTGATGTTTCTAACTCTCTATCCCTCTCCCTTCCTCTCTGTAAAAAATCAATAAAATATATAAAAAAAAAATACTCCCAATGTAATGAATAAAAAAAAAAATACCATCACTACAAACTATTTAACACTCCCTCACCATGTGTATGACTTAACTTTGATCAAGTTTGCTTTTTCGCCAAAGCCGGTTTGGCTCAGCGGATAGAGCGTCGGCCTGCGGACTGAGAGGTCCCAGGTTCGATTCCGGTCAAGGGCATGTACCTGGGTTGCGGGCACTTCCCCAGTGGGGGATGTGCGGGAGGCAGCTGATCGATGTTTCTCTCTCATCGATGTTTCTGACTCTCTATCTCTCTCCCTTCCTCTCTGTAAAAAATCAATAAAATATATTTAAAAAAAAAAGTTTGCTTTTTCAACAGCAAAATAATAGTGGTATTAAAAGCTGTATTTTAGATCTAGAAAAAACTAAAATTCCAACCATTCTCTCACTTCATTTAATTAAATGTACGAAAGAAAGTGCAGAACTTCACAAGGTAAAGCAAGACTGACACACCAAATGAAAACACATGAGAGAAGTCGAAGGCTTAAAGGCGGCTTATTATTTTCCTAATGTCCAGGTGAATAAGTACTCTGAAATAATATGGTACAGCAGAGACAGCATGGAATTTGAAAGCATGTATACTAAGTTTAAGTATATCATGGTTACAAGAAAATAGCATTTCTGGATTTCAGTCCCCTCCTTAGGAAAAAAGAAACTTTCCAACTGACAGTATTCTTACAAAGTTTAAATGAGAAACAATATATGCAAAGTACCGAGCACAACACTGAACAGTCTGCTAAAGAGCAGAGCAGATGCATACTTGCTTCCTATTAAAGGGAAACAAAGTGTTAAATGCCAAACAGAGCTGAAGGTGGGCAAGTCCACCTTACCCTTTACATTATACAACTGCATGGGCTCCTCTCCTGTACTTCAGTGTACATACCTCTTCAGTGGATCAGAAAGAAACTCAAGTGCCTAGAACCTGAGAGAATTCTAATTTCTAAAAGATGAACTGAAAGTATTTATCAAGCTACTTAAAATGTTAAAATTCCTTGCTTTCAGCCAGACTCTTATCCAAATGTGTTTTGAAACAATTGCTCTTTAGCAAATGTTGATTAATAGCAGATGAGAAAATCATTTCATAAATACAATTTATTCAGCATATAAAACCCAACAAAAACAGGATCCCTTGAAAGAAAATAAAAAAGCACCCTCTTTGGCAGTCCCTGAAAGCAGTTAGGTACTTATACTGAGGGGAATAAACAGTGCTTATTAGATGTTTTCCAAGCCCACAGCAGGACTTCTATTAGCCTAACTTACCTACTAAGGTAAAGTTACTCTCCAAAAGCTCTCTATGAGAGTTAAACCAGGCCTGAGCAAGGCGACTGTTTTTATTCTTCCCGATGATATAGTTCATGATGTAGGCGAGCAGACCAGTCACCATCAAAATTTCTAGATAATAACTCTCCCAACTGTTCTGGAGGTGTGCAGGAACCTACAGAAAAACAATTATTCCATTGAATGTTAGTTGAGGCTGAAGGATGGAGTCTAACTCATGGAATGAAGGACAATGAAAAAACCCATAAACAGAAGTAGATACTTTAAATAACTGTCACTAAATATGATTATACTTTGAAAAACATGCCCATTTTGATTTTCCAGGCTGGCTTTGTAAAAGACTCTTTAAGGAAATGTGAAGACAGTCAAGTAGGATAAAAGGATGGAAAGCCCTTTGTATTAAACTTGATTTTGACTCCCACCCCAAAATAAATCCAATGGCTATCATCTTCATCATTCCTTAATAAATAAAACTATGAGGACTAGAACAAAAACACAGGGATTGCCTCTATAGGTGTGGAGTTTTATGAGAAGAATTGATGTCAAACTCTTTCACAGCTACCACTATTATATCAACACCATCTACATGTCACTAATTATATTTCTGGGATTAATAACAGTAAGATATTTTGTTGGTTAGTTTGGAATTTAGAATCCTGTATACCTACATCAACAATTGTTATTGGGTCTTTATTTTTGCTAGAAGAAGTATCTGGTTTGTCTTCATAACCTTCAAATTCTTCATCATCATATGGCTCACCCTCGGTATCTCCCTCCTACAAAAATGAGGCAGCAATCTGTTTTTCTCTACACATGTCACCAGCAATTATATCTCTTTCTTGTAGGCAACAATTGTAGAGGAAAATAGAACATGTTAGCAACAAGTACAGAACAGAGAGATATTACATGTTTTTAACAAATGACTCTCCAATGCTATTAAACCCTGAGTTCAAAATGATATAATTCTCATCCAAACATAGAATTCATCCTCTATCACTTCCAACCCCCCACCCCATGCTTTCCAAAGAGGAGAAAGACAATTCATTTTTCCATCAATGCGAAAGGTGGGAAAACACCACAAAACATTTAGAAGAACTCCACATACTAAACAAAAATAAAGATACCAGAGAGTAAACGTCTCCCTAGACCTGGGTTTTACTTTTAAAGTCTGGGAAAAGTGCTAGTTAAAAATTTTCCCATCCTTCCAATTTCCCAAAAAATCAATAAAAAAAACCTCACCTGGGTATCTGCATCTTCAAAATCTCCTTCTTGGTTTTCATCCTGCCCTTCTAACTCCACAGTGGTCTCGTCTTCATCATCTTCAGTGGTAATCACCCGTTGAGGAGATTCAGTAACAGAATCTTCTGTGACATCTTCAAATTCAGCAAAGTCATTATCATCATACTCTACTATGTCTTCCTCATCCTCAAAATCATCAAACTTAGCTTCAGAGACACTCCCAAACACCAAAAGGACAACACAGAAAGCAAGGAAGACTTTCATGGCACCTTAAAAAAAAACACACAAAACCTAAATGATCAAATTTGGAAACAAAAGATATGTCTATGACACTCTCCTACTTTTCTCTTAATATTATTCATTTTAGAAAGCATCACAAAAAACAATGAGGTGGGGGTAAAGAGGCCTAGGTTCTCATCTGGATTCTGTCACTAATTATCTGTAAAATCTTTTACACTATGCATTCAGTAAGCATTTTTTGAAAAACTTTAAATAGGAACTGGGAAGGGATATAATAAGAATGAGATGCAACTACTTATCTGTTGGTGGTAATGAAAACAATACATGAGCAAAATAAATGAACAAACAAAATAGAAACAGACTCCTAGATTCACAGAACAGACTGATACTTGCCAGAGCCTGGGGGGTGGGGGGTGGGGGGGGGTGGTTAGAGGAGGGGTTAATTGGGAGTTGGGCCTGAGGGAAAAAGTGAAGGGATTAAGAACTACAAATTGGTAGTCACAAAAATAGTCATGGGGATGTAAAGTACAGCATAGGGAATATATTCAATAGTCCTATATAATAAAAACGTAATATGCTAAGTATCTGACTGATCTGTCAAACTTTTGGTCAACACCTCAACTAGTCGCTATGATGCAGACTGACCACCAGAGGGCAGATGCTCCAACGGTTGGTTAGCTTGCTGCTGGGGTCCGGCAATCCGGACTGGGCAAGAGGGCCTGGGCGAGAGGGCTGGACATGCCCTGGAGCCCTCCCGTGGTCCCTCCTGGGCCAGCTGACCCCCATCAGCCTCAATTGGGACTGGGCGATCACCAGCCAGGCAGAGGGACCCCACCCATAATAACTAGTATTGTAATAACTATATATGGGCCAGGTGCATACCTGAAATATTGGGGTGACCACTTTGTAAAGTATATTATTGTCTAACCACTATGCTGTACACCTGAAACTAACACAAAATAAAATGTTTGTAAAACCTTTTAAAATGGGAAAAACCACTCTGTTCACAGGCTGTACAAAAATAGTCCACATCTCAGTCTGCAGATCCCTCCTCTACAACTGTCTCAAAATCAACAGGTACCTGAATATCTCTATTTTTATATTAATATTAACCCCATTTTCCCAATCTTACTTACTGAAAAAAAGCAAGATATCTAATTTCTCACTTTCTTTTCCCTTTGAAATCTAATCAGCCACCAAATCCTGGTATTTCCTTTGATTCTCAAAGCCACCATAACCTAAGCTACCAGCACCTGCTGAAGAACTGCAGTATTTTCCTAAATGGTCTCCCTTGTCTCAACTTTCCATTTTTGCTACATAAGGATTCAATAACCATCAAAAGCTAAGCAAGTCCTGCAGAATATAAGAACTCTGGCTTTTACTGCTTTTCATAAAATGATCCTACCATATCTAAATAAATGTACCTTCACTGAACATACTACCATGTCAGATATTAAGCCAAGAGAGTAAAACATGACTCCTGAATAATTGTAAATTTGCACAAGAATTCAGCTTCAAGGATATGTGTTACAGTATTACTTATAGTAGTGGAAAATTTGAAATTGTTTGGTTAAACCGTGGATATATACAAAGGGCAAATTTACTTTTTGTCCATTAAAAATTGTTACAAATGAAGTTAGAATCCATATTATTTTAGAAGCGAATACGTGTAAACAAAATAGTTTGGAAGGATGTATATACATCTACATATAAATAATAATTACTTTGTATGGTAGGACTATGGGCATTTTGCCTTATTTTTCTTTATGTTTTCTAATTTTCCTATGATGTGCTTTTGTAATAAAAAGTTTTTTAAAAAATTAAAAGCATGGTTTCTGCATGCAAGAACAGGCACTGCAGATGGAAGAATAGTTATGCATAAAGGCCTAAAATAACATATTGTAGGAGTTTGATAGGATGCTGGGTTTATAGACTCAAGAGGGGGAAATGAGGCTGGAAATACCACACTAATAAGTTTGAATAATTAGAATCAACTAAAGAATTTAAGTAGGAGAATGACATTATCTCTGACAGCTCATACACAGGGTGAACTGGAAAAGGGTACCTGAAGCAGGAAAAATTAAGTGGTTGAAATAATTAGATAAGAAAAAAAAACAACGGCCCTAGCTGGTTTGGCTCAGTGGATGGAGCATCAGCCTGTGGACTGAAGGGTCCCAGGTTCGATTCCGGTCAATGGCACATGCCTGGGTTGTGGGCCCTATCCCCAGTGGAGGGCGTGCAGGAGGCAGCCGATCGATGGTTCTTTCTCAGCACTGATGTTTCTATCTCTCTTTCCCTCTCCCTTCCTCTCTGAAATCAAAATATATATTTTTCTTTAAAAGAAAAAAGCACACGATTGAACTGGCAGTGGTATTGGGAATGAACAGGAAAACAGATCTGACAGATTTAACACTTATACTTATCAGCATTGCCCTATCAGCGTGGCTCAGTGGTTGACCATCGACATATGAACCAGGAGGTCACAGTTCAACTCCTGGTCAGGGCACATTCCTGGGTTGTGGGCTCAGGCCTAAACCGGCAGTCGGACATCCCTCTCGCAATCCGGACAGCTGGCGCCTAACCACTCACCTACCTGCCTGCCTGATGGCCCTTAACTGCTCTCCCCTGCGGGCCTGATTGTCCATCTATCCGGTCTAATTAGCATATTACCCTTTTATTAGTATAGTCAAAAGTAGAAGACACATGAAAAATAGCAAGCATTTGGTATAGTTAGATTTGGTTTAATGTCAGCTCTACCATTTGCCAACCATACGATCTTGGGTTAATTACTGAAAATTTCCTGCTCCCCACTTACAAAAAAGAGATACCACTGCATCCCAGGGCTGTAGTGTGGGCAGTACAGACTTGTGCCTGGCACACAGAAGGTACACAATAAATATTAGGTCCCATTACTTCCTTCCCCTGTGCCTTATGAACACTCTTTAAGATTTAAAAACTTCGTTTTTAGTGATTTTCTTTTCAGATCTGGTTTAAACTTTTTCAAGTAGAAGCAAATAAAAGTTACCAATGACACAGTCAATTGCCTGCCAAAAGATCTGATCATTTCAAGCTGGATTTCCACGTAGAATGTTCACACCATAGAAGCATTTCTAAGACAACTCAGCACTGTAACATAGAGCCTTCTAGGTTATTTAGGTTAAAATTATCCAAGCCATTTGTGCCTTGGCCTTCCCTTTCAGGTCTCTCTGCTCCACCTGTCAATTCATTTCTCAATTGCACAATTCCCTGCCAGGCCACCAGGCCTGCCTGAATGAGACGCCTGGGGCAGGGAACACAAACACTAACAAGTCTGGTTTCATTACCTTCTGCAAGCTCACTCGGCAGCCTCTCACAGGTTGGGTCTGGACTTACAAAACCAGCGGGGGAATAAGTGGGGGAAATCATTACTTGTTCCAGTTCTCAACCTTCTGGCCCTTTAAATACAGCTCCTCATGTTGTGACCCAAACATAAAATTATTTTCGTTGCTACTTCGTAACTGTAATGTTGCCATTGTTATGAATAGTAATGTAAATATCTGATGTGCAGGATGGTCTTAGGCGACCCCTGTGAAAGGGTCGTTCGACCGCCAGAGGGGTCAACCGCTGGTTAGGCCTTTCTGACAATGGCCAGACTTCTGGAAGTCACGCACACATTGAATGAAAACCCGTTTTGTGTTAGAACCCTACCGAGAGGACCAGTCAGAGGTGGCTGCTTCTGTCAAACCACCAGGGTCCATTCCCCACTAGGGAGAATCAATTCATCCTGACATCTGTACTCCATACTTCCTGCTACTCACTGGAAGCTTCCTCTACCTTTGCCCTTCGGGTCGGCATCTGCTCACAGATCTGTGGGGAAGTGCCGCAGAACCGTTCAAAATCACCCCAATCCGGAAGACCCACAGAACATGGGCCTTGGAGTGGGCGAAGCTTGCTTGTGTGGTTTCAGAAAGTCGGGAGAAGTGAGAAGGAACGGCGGGGGCCGGTGCATGTCACCACAGGCCTGACGTAGGGGGGTGGGTGGGAAACCGGACCGGGCTAGGCCACGCAACTCAGAGAGCGACCACTTGGGACTGGCCCGGCCCCCACCGAGTCACACGCCATGGCCCGCTTCCTACCTGTACCGGGGCTAGAAGCCGGCTCAGCGCTCCTGCGTCTGCCACCTCTACCCCACGGGCCTCGCGGCCTGGCCGCCGCCTGCGCGGTCACCGCGGTTTTAGTGCCCCTGATGCCTCTAGGACACAGCAATACCCGGTAGCTCAGTCACGCCGCCCCACTCGTCACGTCGCCTCTGCCATCCGTTACGTAGACTGCGTGCAGCCCGTCCGCGCCTGCGCGCGGCGAAGGGGCGGGACGCAGCTTCCGGGACCGCGCGAGACCTCCTCCACCTACGCCCCGCAGAGGTGAGGTGGGGCTGCTGGGAAAATTACATAATCTCGGCCCCGGGGCCGGAACTGCTCTCGCCAATCCCATCCCTCTCCGCTAGGATTCAGTCAGGTTGTCATCACGCTGAAGTGGTGCTCCGGAAGCTGAAGGTGGCCATGCTCCATGGAACCACGCGGCCGGAGGCACGCGGAGAGATGTTGCCCAGGTCGGATTTGCAAAGGACCAGCGTTTAGGGGATCGACGGTCTTATGTCTATGCGGCTTCCGCCCAAGCCCCTTTTCTTGGAATTTTTGGGCGGCTCCTCGTCATTGCTACTCTTTCTCCCCTCCTAGGCCCATCTCCTATACAGGCTATGGACACCCCTGACCCAGCAGCAGAACCCCGTCGAACGGCCTGAGAGGTCTGCAAGGCATTCTGGAGCATTAAGGCCAGGAGCCCGCGGCGCTTTCCGGGAATCGCAGACCCAGACCCCGCCCTTCGGCCCGCGCTCTGCATTGCGCATGTCAGGTGTGTGCTCCCCTCCCCCAGTCAGCAACGGGTCGAGTGGCGGCGGCGAAAGGGGCGGAGAAGGAGGAGCGCGGCGGGACGCGGCCTGGACCGCGCGTACTCCGGGACGTGGGACTCCGCGGCGGCGGTAGTAGTTGCTGCCGCTACTGCAGCAGTTTTGCGCGAGGTGGGTCTGGACGCGGGGCCGCGACCCCTTGGTCGCCCCGGAGGCAACTGCGGGGCCTAGCGAAAGCCAGGGGACCGCGGCCTCAGTTAACAAAGAGTCGGCGGAGCCCCTGGGAAGACGGGGAGGGGCGGGAGTGCGGGGCTGAGGCCTGGAGGGGTCCTTCCGAGCCGGGTCGCCCTCCCCGGCTCCCGCTTCTCCCGCAATTCCTACGGAGGCCCAGTTGGCGGCTTTCCGGAGGCAGTGCCCGCCCCCTCGACTACGGAAGAGATTTCCAAGTTGCCGAGCTCCGAGGCTGGGATGGCCACCGGGAGGATTCTGACCCTGGGCGGCAGCAGTTGGCGGGCGCAAGCCTCCAAATCGGGGGGATCCCATCGGCAAAAGTTGTCAAATCGGAAGACAGTAAATGACAAAGTGGGCGATGTCTGTGCAGCCTTGAGTAGATGGTGATTAGCATCGCCATCGTCACACAAACTTTTTTGCGGCCTACCCGATGTGAGTAAATAATTTATGTGGAGTTGCAAGCATACGTACCAGTAATATAAAGAGAAACTACCTGCTAGTCGAGAGTTTGGGGGAAAATGATAGCTTCCTTGTCACTTTGGTGAAGCATTCCCCTTTTGCCGCTCACTCCTGTAGGCTCCAGTTTCCTTTGGCTTCCTTGAATGTTGCTTTTTGTTTTTGTAATGATGTTTCTGTATCTCTTCTCCCCGCTGTATACGCCCCGGAGTTCCTACAAGGCAGAGATTATTTCTTAGTCACTGTAACTTTTCAGAGCCAAGCCCGGTTCTGGCACATAGGAGGTGAGCAATAAGTATTTCAAACAAAAATTAATGTTCAGACTCTGAGCGGTGAAAAAAAGGTATATTGTGTTTTCCTGTACCTAGAAGGGGCATTATATGGCCTCATTTGCAATTCATGCATTTAAGAAATATTCTTACTGATGCCTACTATGTGCCTATTCCTTAGGCCTGTTTTAGGCTCTGATGCCCCCCCTCCACCGGCCCTCATGAAACTTACTTATTTTTTTTTTTTGAAACTTACTTTCTAGTGGAGGGAAGCGAGACAAATAAATCTATAAATTATACTGTAAATTAGAAGATTATTAGTGCCTTAGGAAAAAATACAGCTGGGATGAAAGATGGGAAGATGTTGCATTTTGAAGTAGGGTGGTCAGGGATACAGATAACCTACTATTTAAGCAGATTGAAAGCAGGTGAGGGAGTGTGAGCCCAGCCAGTGTCTGGGGAAAGGAATGTTCTAGGCAGAGGTTAGCACCCGGTTAAAGGCCTGGCAGAGGACCAGTTCGAAGACCAGTGTGCTGTAGCGCTGTGAGCAAAGGAGGGAGTGGTAGGAGATACGCTCAGGGGAGGAAAAGAAAAGAATTGGGGATGGGAGCAGAACTACTGGGACCTTTTAGGCTATTGTGAGGATTTCACTTTTGCTGTGCTGGAGATGGGAACCATCTGAGGGTTTTGAGCAGAGGAGTGAAAAGATCTGACTTAGATTCTTTTGTAATAATTGAGTATAATTCATGGAGGAGTGCAGCTGTTTATATTTTAGTTTTTATCAAAATGATACTAATATAGTCAGCTCTTATTTTCCTTTTTTTTAAAAAAAAAAAGACCTTAGGATATGTTTTTCACTGATTCCAGAGAGAGAAAAATGGATTGTTACCCCCTCTACCCCCCTCCCCCATGCACCCAGAACCAGGAATCAAACTTTGACCCATCTGTGGAACTAAGAGTGGCCTAAGGTTGAAGATTGGCATAGCATAAATCAAATTTAATACTAAAACTGAACTAAGTGCTATGCTTCTAACAAAACCTGTAAGATATATGGGGGAGGGGAAGAGAAGCAGAAAAGTAGAGCATGTTGTTCTTGGTCTGTCATCATAAAGAGCCATTTTTGGAACTCTTTCTACACTTGCTTCAGAGCCCATTATAAGTATTTTAATTTTTATTATTAGTTGTAAACTTTAATACAAACATGAAAGTAAAAATCAAGTAATGCAGTTAACATTTTGATTAACAGCCCTCCAGCTATCTCTGGATATGTTACACATGCTTTCACGTTGAATTATGTTGAATCATATCGTCCACCTTGTTCTATGCCCTTTTTATTTGACTTAATGTGTAATGGACACTTTTCCATAAATGTAAGTTGTAATTAAACATTTTTTAAATTAGAATGCATTTTCCCTTTGACTAAGCAATTACATTTTAAAAAAGGATCCTAACGAAATCAGGGTACACAAAGATATAGCTATATGATGTTTCACAACATTATAAAACAGTAGTAGAGAAATATATTTATTTATTGATATTCAAAGATGTTCATAGTGTATCATTAGGTGAGGAAATCAGTAACTAAATGTACAGTATGATTTTATTTTGTTTCAAATTGTATGTGTGTGCGTATACAACTTAAAAACTAGTGGAGAGCTCTCGCCGGTTTGGCTCAGTGGATAGAGCTTTGGCCTTCAACCTGAAGGGTCCTGAGTTGGATCCCTGTTAAGGGCACATCCTTAGTTGCATACCTTAGATACCTGTCCTGTGCTGAAGGCAACCAATCAATGTGTCTCTCTCATATAGATGTTTCTCTCTGTCTTTCCCCCTCCCTTCCACTCTCTCTAAAAGTCAATGGAAAACTATCCTAGAGTGAGGATTAGCAACAACAACAAAAATAGAGTAGAATACATAGCAAAAGAGATCAACAAAGTTACATATCTGGGAGAGGAAATTTCAGGTAGTTTTAAATTTTGTTCCTTTATGCTTTCTGAGCTTCCTGCTTTTCTACAAAACTTAGGAAGCTTATGTATATAAAAACATTTTTTTTTGAGCCAAGACTAATAAGATGCTATAAAATATTGTTTTTAATTTGATTGAATTGAAGCTCAGGAAATTTCTTTGTAATCCTTAATCATAGGATTAACTGAACACATAAGGCAACATATCAATGAATAGGGGTTTCTTCCTAGTTAGTGTTCTAGTGTGCATTTGCTAAATAAATGCATGGTTCACAAGTACCCTTCAGAGATAATAACAGGTAATTTCTACAAATTACTATTTTTTAAATTTTGATTCTTTGAGTCTTCGAGGTTTTATTACCAGAGGAAAATCATTAATTTTGGGACAGCATTGCTGATAGCACCTCAGTCTCTGTTATAGCAAGCATTACATTAATTGTAGATTGTTTTAGTGGCTTTTGTGTGTTTTTTTTTTTTTGTCTGTTTTCCTGGTAGACTGTAAACCTCTTGAGGATAAAATTTAAGAGCTTAAGTCTTTTCAATTGATCTTCCAAAGTATTAGTTGTCTTAGGAGTATTTTTGCAGCTTAACAAATATTAAATTAGCAATCAAATCCTTTTAAAGGGGGTGATATTAAATGTTGCATCCCATTTAGATTGAGAGTCCAATAAAATAAAAATTTCTTCAGTGTTTTAGAAAACGTGACCATTTCATTGAAGTTAGCAGACTGCATATCTGAAGTATAAAGTTAAAGTTAATTGAGAGGCACAAGTTGAGTATGAAATTGTTGGTAGAGGTTGGGAGAGACATAAAGTCAATGGCTATTTACTTTATAAAGTTAATTTTCTATTAATGTATCTTGTTCCTAACAGATCAATCATTGACACCATGAACTGGAATAAAGGTGGCCCTGGCACTAAAAGGGGATTTGGCTTTGGAGGTTTTGCCATTAGTGCTGGAAAGAAGGAAGAACCAAAACTCCCACAACAGTCCCACAGTGCCTTTGGGGCAACCAGCTCTTCTTCTGGATTTGGGAAGTCAACTCCACCACAGCTCCCTTCTTTCTATAAAATTGGATCTAAACGGGCCAATTTTGATGAAGAGAATGCGTAAGTGGTAACTTCTGATAATTTAACAAAGGTTGGGCTTTGAGATAATTCATTCCATCAACAGAAATTAAGGCAAAGAAACACTTTGTTTCCAGAATAATAACTTCTAAAATTGATTATCTCACTGAGTTGTTGCTAATAAGTTAAATTGTCGAGTTTACTCATTTGTAAGGAAAAATACTTGTGTGCTTACTTGTACCTTTACTTGTTCCAAAAAAGATTTGAGGCCAATGAGACCTAAATATGGCTAAAGAGATTTTAAATAATTCACGTGTTGTTGTTTTTTATGTTCTTTACTGAAGTCTTTTATTGGCATCATATAAATTGTTTTGTAAACACAGGCTATTGTCAGAACGTAGGGATGGGATACAGTTTGCCTCAACACCCGAGTTCTTAAAGCTGTTATGTTTTAAGTTCTTAATAGTTTTATATAATACTTTAAACAATAAAGAATTTAAATTAAAATAAAAAAATCTTAATAGTGGTAGAAAAAAAATCTCAGATTTTTGCCCACAGTTCTCAGGAAACATATTTAGCAGTTATCTTTTTTTAACTCTAATAAGGTAGTTATTATAAAAAGATGGGTTTTGAGTTCTAATTCCTATAGATCAGTGGTTCTTAACCTTCTGGCCCTTTAAATACAGTTCCTCAGGTTGTGACCCAACCATAAAATTATTTTTTTATTTTTTTTTCTGTCTTCAAGTCCATTATTTATTTTATTTTTTAATTAAATCTTTATTGTTCAGGTTATTACAGTTGTTCCTCTTTTTTCCCCCCATAGCTCCCCTCCACCCGGTTCCCACCCCACCCTCTGCCCTTACCCCCCACCACTGTCCTCATCCATAGGTGTACGATTTTTGTCCAGTCTCTTCCCGCATCCCCCACACCCTTTCCCCCCCAAGAATAGTCAGTCCATTCCCTTTCTATGCTCCTGATTCTATTATAATCACCAGTTTATTCTGTTCATCCGATTATTTATTCACTTGATTTTTAGATTCACTTGTTGATGTGTATTTGTTGTTCATAATTTGTATCTGTACCATTTTCTTCTTCCTCCTCTTCTTAAAGGATACCTTTCAGCATTTCATTTAATACTGGTTTGGTGGTAATGAACTCCTTTAGCTTTTCCTTATCTGTGAAGCTCTTTATCTGACCTTCAATTCTGAATGATAGCTTTGCTGGATAAAGTAATCTTGGTTGTAGGTTCTTGGCATTCATCACTTTGAATATTTCTTGCCACTCCCTTCTGGCCTGCAAAGTTTCTGTTGAGAAATCAGCTGACAGTCGTATGGGTAACTCCCTTGTAGGTAACTGACTGTCTTTCTCTTGCTGCTTTTAAGATTCTCTCTTTGTCTTTTGCTCTTGGCATTTTAATTATGATGTGTCTTGGTGTGGTCCTCTTTGGATTCCTTTTGTTTGGGGTTCTCTGTGCTTCCTGGACTTGTAAGTCCATTTCTTTCACCAGGTAGGGGAAGTTTTCTGTCATTATTTCTTCAAATAGGTTTTCAATATCTTACTCTCTCTCTTCTTCTGGTACCCCTATAATTCAGATGTTGGTACGCTTGAAGTTGTCCCAAAGGCTCCTTACACTATCTTCATATTTTTGGATTCTTTTTTCTCTTTGTTTTTCCAATTAGGTGTTTTTTGCTTCTTCATATTTCAGATCTTTGACTTGATTCTTGCAATCCTCTAGTCTGCTGTTGAAAGTCTGTATAATATTCTTTATTTCAGTCAGTGTATTCTTAATTTCTAGTTGGTCCTTTTTCACAACCTTGAGGGTCTCACTAGACTTATTGAGGATCTCATTAAATTTATCGGTGGTCTCACTAGATTTCTTGAGTGTCTCACTAAGTTTATCGGCGGTTTCTAGAAAATTCTTGAAAAACCTTAAAAGTGTGGTTTTGAACTCTATATCCAGTAGTTTGCTTTCCTCCATTTCTGTCATTTGTGACCTGTTTCTTTGTCTCCGCATTTTTTATGCTTCCCTGTGTTGATAGAGTGGCTTTCTGTGCTAGGTGTCCTTTAGGGCCCAGTGGCTCAGCCTCCCCAATTACCTGAGGTGGACACTCTTGGTGCACCCCCTTGTGGGCTTTGTGCACAGTCTTTTTTTAAATTTTTTTTTTTAATATATTTTTTATTGATTTTTTTACAGAGAGGAAGGGAGAGGGATAGAGAGTTAGAAACATCGATGAGAGAGAAGAGAAACATCGATCAGCTGCCTTCTGCTCACCCCCCACTGGGGATGTGCCCGCAACCAAGGTACATGCCCTTGACTGGAATCGAACCTGGGACCCTTCAGTCCGCAGGCCGACGCTCTATCCACTGAGCCAAACCAGACAGGGCATTGTGCACAGTCTTGTTATAGTTAAGCCTTGATTGTTGTAGGTATCACTGGGAGGAATTGACCTCCAGGCCAGTTGTCTGTGAGAATCAGCTGTGTCTGCAGTGGGAGAACTTATGTGCTGGAGACACCCTTCTGGGGCAAGACTTGCTTCAGTGGGGCTTTGGTGCTCACTGAGTCTGCCCCCTGAGTGTTTCCCTTATGGATCTGAGGAGTTGTAATTGGATGGTCCCACTCTGACCACTGGGTACACTGGCTCTTGGATCTCTAAGGAGTTGCTAATTTAGCCTCTGCCTGAGACTACCCTGCAGGAGCTCAGCTGTGAAGGAATGCAAGCTGCTGTGGGGCCTTTGGCCAGCTGCAGTTGGTTAGGTAATTTTCAGATTGCAAAGGGCCAGGCATTTCATATGCAAAAGCCGGCGCACAGCTTGTGTGGGGCGGGGCCCCAGGGATCAACAGGGCAGAGCAAGCAGCTATGGCTGCTCCTCAGTCCTGCCCTAAGAGGCCCTGCTTCTCAGTGTCCTGGTAATCGCTGCAAGCACCTCTGAGAGAAAGCCGCCCTCGAGGTCCGACCCATGCCAGACAGTCCAGTTTCTCCCCGTATGAGCCTGTGTCCCCAGAGACTCACCCGGGACTGGAGTTCAGAGCAGTCGGGAGCTTGAGACTCCCTCCTGATTGAAAAAGACAACCGTGTCCTCAGCCGACAGCCCTTTCCGCGTGCGCCTCGTGCCTCTGCACTTTACTTCCACATCACACCTCCTCTGAGTCTCGGTATGCTTTTCTCTTTCCTTCTAGTTGTAGAATTTCCACTCAGCCAGCCTTCCTGTAGTTCTGGATGATGTCTGTTTTATCTTTCAGTTGTATTTTTGAAGTAATTGTGCGAGGCAGCAATTTCTGGTGTTTACCTATACCGCCATCTTGGTTTCCTTCCATAAAATTATTTTCGTTGCTACTTCATAACTGTAATGTTGCTACTGTTATGAATTGTAATGTAAATATCTGATACGCAGGATGGTCTTAGGTGACCCTATGAAAGGGTCGTTCGACCAGCAAAGAGGTCGCAACCCACAGGTTGAGAACTGCTATAGATTATAATTTCTGTCTTTGCTGAGTCTAAAGAAATCTCTTAATTTCTTACCTGGTTGAGTGACACTGAGGTTTTTTGTTTGTTTTTTTAACGAAAATACTTCTCAAGATCAGCTTTTTTTAAGTACATGCTGCTGCTATGTTATTCAGGAATTCAATATAGAAGTAAGTGTTTAAAGTTCAGCAAAGAATCATTATTCTAGAGAGCAATTTACCAGTTCTTTAGTTAAATGAAACCTATATAAGTGAATATGCACACGTGCGTGTGTCACATAAAAGCTTTTAAAGTAATTCCTATAAAGACTTGAAGTGCTTTAAAATTTTAAGCTGCAGCTATTTAAATTTACAATTATATTTGTGATATAATCATACTATATTTAAATTTATTAAATATTTGGTTATATGTTTAATTTTGAGGTAAGGCATAAATAATGTTTTTGTTTTGGTTTAGTTTATAAAGAGCTGTATCCTTTTCTGGGATTTTTGTTAGTGATAAAGTGATATTTTCTCCCGACTTTGAAGTTGTCGTTTCTGAATACTTAAGTAGTATGATGAATGGTTTCGGATTGAGAATTTATTTTCAATTCTAGAACAGTGGTTCTCAACCTTCCTAATGCTGCAACCCTTTAATACAGTTCCTCATGTTGTGGTGACCCCCCCAACCATAAAATTATTTTCGTTGCTACTTCATAATTGTAATTTTGCTACTGTTATGAATCGTAATGTAAATATCTGACATGCAGGATGTATTTTCATTGCTACAAATTGAACATAATTAAAGCATAGTGATTAATCACAAAAACAATATGTAATTATATATTGTGAAATATTTATTTCTGATTACAAATAAATGAAATTCTGGCTTGAAGCATGGTGTAGCATGGGTAACAGTCTTAATATAACAACAGTAAACTACATTGCTACATGTTGCGACAGTGTGCATAAAAAGCCAACATCAGTGCAAAGGTTGAGATTGCTTCTTTCTCACCAGATCAGAAATTCTTGGGGCAGTCTTTGTAAGAGCACAACGAAGATCATCTTCCACAACAAGTCTACTTCTGTATTTAGACTTGATAACCAACAAGCTGGAAAACCCTGTTTCACAAAGATATGTTGTTGGAAGAAGAAGGCGCAACACAGTCTCAGAACAGGATATGACTGCAAACACTTGATCCAGAATTTTGTAACTGGCATTATAAAGAAATCAGTTCTCACTGCATTGTTGTTAATGAGTTCAGTGAACTCCTCTTGTGATGTCTCAGGAACATCTTCAACTTTGTGAGTGGGCTTCTGGCAAGTGCAAATGGGCTGTCAGATTTGGAAAGTACGATGAAATTTCGCCTGCAAGTATGTGCAAGTGTTCTTTCACAGAAATTATCGTAATCCTTTTGTCTGGTTCAATGTCATGTTCCTCAAAGAAAGCAGATAAGGTAGGCAACATGTAAATTTTATTTTCATCTCTTTTTTTTGCCAAAGCTGAAGTTTCATTTGGAATGATAGGATCTTTTCAGACAAATCGAGGCATGTTGCATTTGGTCCTTGCAGTGATAAATTTAACTCATTCAAGATGGCAACCAAGTAAGCTATTTTCTGCAGTTTACTTTTATTGCTGAAAAGTGCTTCGAATTGTGGTCTTGCTTTCTGATTAAAAAACGTTTTGAGTTCATCACGAAGCTCAAAAACACGTTTTAAAATTTTTCCTCTCGACCATCTCACTTCAGGGTGAAATAGCAGAGCATTGTTCGGCGCATCCAACTTGTTGCACAGTTGCGAAAACAGTCGACGGTTTAAAGTGCTCGCCTTTACAAAATTGACACAACTTATGACACTTTTCATTACTTCTTGTAACTCTGGTGGCAGCGTCTTTATTGCTAATATTTGCCAATGAATCATAGTGATGATTTTTGGTGACTCATTCCATACCAAACGTTGAAATCCAGATCGACATCCTAGCATAGCTGGAGCACCATCTGTGCAAACACCACAAACCTTTTCCCAGGAGATCTTATACTCTTTCAGAAATGAACCAACTGTGTTAAATACATCACGTGCAGTAGTTGTCGTTTCAAGAGGTTTGCAAAAAAGAAACTCATCTTTAAAGTCGCCATCATTAATATACCTCACGTAAACCAGTAGCTGAACAATTTGCAACGTCTGTAGATTCATCAAGCTGGATATTAAATATTGGAAGTGGAGCAGATTTAATTTCCTGGATTACCTGATCAAGAATATCAGCAGACATGTCATCTATTCTTCTGTGGACAGTGTCGTTAGATAAGGAAATTGCACTCAATTCTGTAACAAATTTGTCTCTCCAATCATAACTCAAAACAATGCCTTTGGCCGCTGGCAACAGTAAATCCTCAGCAGTGGTGTGAGATTTCATAGCTCTGGCGATTCTGAGTGCCACCAAATATGAAGCTTCAACGGCTGCTACATTTTGTTTGTGGTACTTGCCACCAGTGTCAAGTCTGGCTTTCTTGAGTCCATCAGCTTTGCTTCTAAAATAGTTGGTATCCTTGCCGGCAAAGCCCTGATGCTCGCTATCAAAATGGCGTTTTAGTTTGTTTGGCTTCATAGATTTGGCTGATAGAACTTCACAACAAATAACACATTGCAAGTTTCTCAATTCCTGCTATAATTATTGAGGTAAAACTGTAAAGTAAAAAAATCCTCACTATTTTTTTCTCACTATATTTTCTTAACGTTCTTCTCTACACGATCCATTGTCATGGGATGGTTTGCAGATGAAAATAATATATAACAGTAACTTTAATAATACAAAAGATGATACATGGCATAGTTCAGTCAATTCACTTCATTAAAGTTTCCTATGATTTACCATTGTGTTGTTGTTTTTTTTACATACCTTTTACTATCACAAGGGGGCAGTATTCACATCAACCACAGCTGAATATAAAAAGACCAATCAGCATCCAGATTAAGTTCCCGTGGTACAGATTTTTTTTTTTTTTGCAGTAGTTGATGACTTTACATTTACCCAGTAATTATAATTCATGAAGTGTCGTTTTACCTCCAGTACTGCTGCTTTTAACAGAGTAGCTGCTTTCAACACAGCAGCTGCTCTCTACACAGTAGCTGCTCTTTACACATGTGTGACTGGTCCGCATAAGTACATTATGGTGCCAGCCTTGTCACATACACCTGTATTTGTACAGGGTGTATGTGATGGGGTTGGCGCGATGGTGTCATCATGCCGTGTACTCGTATGTGGGCGTATCTGCATGTAGATGGACCCGCCTGGAGACAGAGGAGCTGTGTCTCGGTTCCTAAGACCATCGAAAATATGTGTTTTCCGATGGTCTTAGGCGACCCCTGTGAAAGGATCATTCGACCCCCAAGGGGTCGCGACCCACAGGTTGAGAACCACTGTTCTAGAAGTTTTCTGTTGGTCCTCAGGAAATAGCCCAGAACTTCTGATGGAAGTCCCTACCCTTATGAATATGTCTCTAAGGATTAAAGGATTAAAAAAATCTGCAGTTACTCCAGATTTATTAATTAAATTTTAAAGGATTATAAGAAAATTTTAGAGGTTTTTAATATTTCATTTGAAAGTAATTTTTCCCATAGCATACATTCTTTATATTTGCTGTATCTATTCAACAATAATATACTAAATTTGTACTGAAAACCTAACAGAACTGGAAATTGATTTGAACAGACGCTATTGAAATGGAGAATCTGCTGTGACTTTTTTCATTAATAAGTAATACTGAAGTCTTTAGACAAAGCCTGAAGGTCTCTAATTTGACCTGTGTAGTTTAAATCTCTCAATAGTAACATGTATCATAATAAACATTTCTGTTAAATGAAAGATTCATTGACCCCAAACTAAACATTCACTTTACCAGTCACACATCTTAATTTTCAGATACTTTGAAGATGAGGAAGAAGACTCTAGCAATGTTGATTTACCTTACATTCCTGCTGAAAACTCCCCTACCCGCCAGCAATTCCGTTCCAAGCCAGCAGATTCTGACAGCGATGATGACCCCTTGGAGGCATTCATGGCTGAAGTGGAAGCAAGTATCAACTCTGTTTTGTTAAAATTCTCAGTAATTAGAAATAGCCCAAAGTAACCTAGCGCTTCAGTCCTCATTCAGAATTTGTTTTCTGACCTTTTTGGGGGAGAATTTTGTTCTTTTACTCCAGTTTCTTAACTATACTTCCACTTGCCCTGTAAACCTTGAACGTAGTAGCTCAACATTTTTGTGTGTGTTTTGTTTTAATAGTTCTTGGTATATTCTTAAGCGGAATGAACATCTCATTCAACCTATATTTTATTAAATACATATTTAAGGCAGTTACATTTAAGGAACTTGCTAAAATCACAAATTTTGTATTCTCTACTTTTAATGTTTAGTATTTCTTACTACCAACATTATCACCAACATTCATGACTTCCCTGTAGAAATTGAAACTTCTGGCTACTCCATAAAATTCTTCTTACTAGGCTCTTATGATTTTGCATTTTGTCCTTTTTTTCCCCATCTCTGATTTTTCTTTTTATTTATTTACTTGTTACTAAGAAAAATTTTAAACACGTACAAAAGTATAATAATAAAATGAGCGTCTAACACCAACCAAAACTATTCAGAACATAGATGTGCTTTTGCATCATGGTAGCAAGTTAGTAAATATATTAAATGATTCTCTCTAGAAGTAAAGGCAATAAATGGTTTTTCATGTTTGAGATATCTTTATATATGTATATAACCTTCAGATATGGACATTTCTCAAAGGAGTTTATTTCTCATTATTTCTTGAGATATCCTTAGTGATGAATTAGAAGAAAAATCAGCTCTTTATTTTCTAGGTTTAAATTTAGATTTGATTTTTGGTAGTGCAAGCTGTCATCACCCTTTTTGAGTGGGAGTATCCAAGCATGGCCTAGATTCAGTTGCTTGGCATTTCAAGTAGTTGAAGCAATTTGGAGATTAAATCTTTTTTTTTTTTTTTTAAATATATTTTATTGATTTTTCACAGAGAGGAAGGGAGAGATATAGAGAGTTAGAAACATCGATGGGAGAGAAACATCGATCAGTCGCCTCCTGCACATCTCCCACTGGGGATGTGCCCGTAACCAAGGCACATGCCCTTGACCGGAGTCGAACCTGGGACCTTTCAGTCCGCAGGCCGACGCTCTATCCACTGAGCCAAACCGGTTTTGGCGAGATTAAATCTTTTTGATATGGTATCATTCTGAATATTTTCTGGTGGTGTATCTAAAAGGGTCTTACTGGGTTTAGGACAGAGATTGGATATTGTCTGATCTTGGAGAAAGTGTTGTTGCCAAAGTATACTGATCTTCAGTATAAATTTTTCTATGATTGAACTCAAAATGAGGATTTTATTTTACTTTTTAAAAAATATATATTTTATTGATTTTTTTACAGCGAGGAAGGGAGAGGAATAGAGAGTTAGAAACATCGATGAGAGAGAAACATCAATTAGCTGCCTCCTGCACACCTCCTACTGGGGATGTGCCCGCAACCAAGGCACCATGCCCTTGACCAGAATCGAACCTGGGACCTTTCAGTCCGCAGGCCGACGCTCTATCCACTGAGCCAAACCGGTCAGGGCTTATTTTACTTTTTGAGGTATGATTTTTGTTTTTCTCTTCTCAGTCATGTGAGGATTTATTTTTAGCGAGTGTTTCAAAAAAGGGTTTATGTGGGCTTAACAAATATGTTCTATAAGTGTTTGCCAGCCATTTCTTATGTTACATTATTTATGTCGTCTTCACTTTAATTATAGCCTTAAATGCAGGTGGATCCAAAGTAGATTTACAGTTGTCCGTATGGAAAATAATGCAATAACTAATAATAATACAAGAATAGTCTGTTTCACATACAACTGTAAACCTACTTTTTGCCCCACCCTGTATATCTTACATGTGGCTCAATCCCTTGAAAAATAGATTGTGTATTAAATATATATTTTTTTAAATATATATTTTTTTAAATATATTTTTATTGATTTTTACAGAGAAGAAGGGAGAGGGATAGAGAGTTAGAAACATCGATGAGAGAGAAACATCGATCAGCTGCCTCCTGTACACTCCCTACTGGGTATGTGCCCGCAACCAAGGTACATGCCCTTGACCAGAATCGAACCTGGGACCCTTGAGTCTGCAGGCCAATCCTCCATCCACTGAACCAAACTGGTTGCAGGGGTCCTTAAACTACGGCCTGTGGGCCACATGCAAATACAATTATTGTATTTGTTTCCGTTTTGTTTTTTTACTTCAAAATAAGATATGTGCAGTGTGCATAGGAATTTGTTCATAGTTTCTTTTTAAACTATAGTCCAGCCCTCCAACGGTCTGAGGGACAGTGAACTGGCCCCCTGTTTAAAAAGTTTGAGGACCCCTGGTAGGGCTATAATATTTCTTTTAAAAATAATTTCTCTTTGTCAGGACCACTTGATTAAATAGGATGCCAGATTTTTTACACTGGCATTTTTTAAATGAAAGAAGTCAGAAAAATTCATGTTACTTTATAATAAAAAACTTGTGCAGAACGTGTTTAACTTTGCGAAAATTTAATTTTTCTAACCTTGATATTCACGCATAAAACAAAGAATTAATTTAGATCAGTGATTATAAATTTTATTTGTATAAGAATGTGCCTGTGGAAAATGGGAAAACTACATGCAATTTACTCTATCCACAAGGATTCTGATCTAGGAGGTTTGGAGCAGGGTGTTGAGCCCCACAACTATTGGGGCTCAGTCATTCTTTGTTGTAGTGACTGTTCTGTGCATTGTTGGATGTTTAGCAGCATCTGTGGCCTTTATTCACTAGATATTACTAAAGACCTCTCCTTCACTCCTCCTCTTGCCCCCAAGTTGGATGATCAAAAATGTCTATAGACATCACCAAAAGTCCACTAGGGACAAAATTGTGACCCTTCTAATCAGTGTCAACTTCTAAACTTGGATTGACAGCAACCTTTCCTCAGCCAGATCCAGAAATCTGCATTTTTTACTATCCCCAATGATAATGTGAAGCAAATTTTCTTACGCTGCACCTTGAGAAAGCCTGATTTGCCTAAGTTTAAGGTCTTTTACAGCCACTAATAAGTTCATTAACTTAAAAAAAAAAAAGTGAGCAAGCATTTTTACTAATTTTTCTATGCATGTTATAAATTGCAAGTAAAAGTCATCCACATGATGTATAGCCAAGGTTTTATAACATTTGGGTATTTCTCTGGAAAATTGTCAAAATGTAGTTTGATTGCATCCAAATTCAATTGTCAGAATGCATAGCTAAAAGTATGATGGCATTTGTTTGAATCTAAAAATTCTTTGTAAAGAAATTTCTTTTTTAGTTGCTATGATTGTATACATCCTTTTGTTTCATTAGGATCAGGCAGCAAGAGACATGAAGAGGCTTGAAGAAAAGGACAAGGAAAAGAAAAACGTAAAGTAAGTTGTTTTCTTCTCCCTCACAAAGATTATATAAAAATCAACTATTGCAAAACCTATATCTCTTAAAATTTATAGAGGAAAAAATAAAATACATAGATTCTTGACTTGAAGTTTACCCCTGTATCTTGAATAACATTTCTGCAGATAGTAGAAATGACAAAAGTCTTTAAATTTGCAGTAATTAGCTTTTTTTTTGGTAAAATGGTATTTGATGTTCTGTAGTTTTTGTTCATTATTTGGTTTTGGTTTTAGTAAACTCAAGAATGAGTTACAGTTGGAGTTAAGAGCGCATGATTAATAAAGTTTGGGTTCACTGTTCTGAGTTTTGTTCCATAATTAATAAAAAAACAGGTAATGCCTATAGGGTTGATTATGAGAAGTAATGGTGATTATGCCATTTAAAAACTATGTATATTGTTAATAAATAACAGTCTAATTTTTATTTAAGGAGTTACACCATGCTTTAGCAATGAGTCAGAACTTGAAATACATTATTTTCTGGAAAAATGAGTTTTCCTCTGTCCCTTGCTGAATACACTCCTCTTAAAGTTTTTGCTACCAGACAAAAGTAGGCATGGTTGGACTTTTCCCTCTGCTTGGTAATCAGTGTTTCAGGCCCTCTCCAAGGTTCCTGTGCCATATGGAGGTTCAGCCCTCTCTTTGGTGCTTACTGTGTGTTCATCCTCTTTCAGTAAGCCTCCACTGGCGGTGTAGCTTGCCTTAGGAAGAGTAAGTGCTCTAGATTAGACAGAAATGGTTGATTAGAAAGAGATGGTTGTGGGAACTAAGCAACCACACTTTCTAAAGCTCCTGATAGAGTCAGCAAAGGGACGTTTACCCCTTCTCTAGGTGAACTGCTTAGGAGTTTTAGTCTCAAACTTACCAAGAATTGATTTAATTTTTTTTCTGTCTCTAAGTATTCTATAGCTGAATGCAGTTACTCCAGAGCTAGGGGACATTAAGAAAATTGTGACCTATTTTAGTGTACCAAAAGCAGGATTTTTTTTTTTTTTTAATATAAAATGCTTTTCACAACTGCTTGGTATTTGTTGTATGGGATTGACAAGACTAGGGTCCTTGGGTATATATCTTCAGACGTTTTTTACTCCTTATACCTCGTTAGTAATTGATGTTTCTAGGGGTACCCTAGCACCCCATTCAAAAGAAATGCAAACTGCCACATATAGAGTGAAATTACACATGTATGATGGATGGATAGTTTTCAGTGTGCTTATTGCTGCTTTGTTGTTATTAGTGTTGAGAATTCCTGTGCTGTATGGAGTTCAACACTAATCTGCTATAAGTATGGAGCTGGGTATGTGGAACATTTGCAGGGAAGTTTGTTTCTCCGCTTGTTTTTCCAGGGGTATTCGAGATGACATTGAAGAGGAAGATGACCAAGTGAGTTCCTATGCAGATTTCTATCTTTTATGTTTACCCCAAAGTCTACACGGAGGACAAGCGAGAGCTTGCCTTCACTGAAATGGCCATTCCTGATACTCAGCAGGGAATGTCATTTGACTTGCTCCTTTTCTACATGTGTGACCAGTTGGTAATACAAAGATTAACATGGCCTTCCTCCATGTTGAAGATGGAACTTTTGATCAACTATGACGTCAGAAACAAATAGGAGCTTTATTCAGCTTGATTTTTTACAATCCAACCTAATGTGTATTCTCATAAATCAAGAAGTAGAGTAGTATGGGATCTTCTGAGGCCTCTAGCAACATCCAACCTCTACCTCTTTCTAGGGGTTCTGTTTGTGATTTTTATATTTCAAGATGGAACATTAATGACTGTCCTTTAGTATTTTTTTTCTCATTGGTCAGTTATGGGATGGTGAGAAGGGAACCAAAGTGAGCAGTAGCCCTTTCCAGGTTTATGACCCTTCTAATTAGTGGCACCTTCTAAAATTGGATCGGTAAAGCCACAGCATGTGTTCCCACAGCTCTGGGCAGGGTAGGTAGACACCCCACCCCAGGAACGCTGTGCAACAGACAGATTTGTAAGTCTTCTGTTCAGTTAAATCATTTTGTAGTACTAACTGTCTCACTCATTTCTTCTGATTGTCCCTCCAAGTACTGCTATTGTTAAAGGAATCATTGCTAGTAAAAGTCTTCTTACTTGGTAGGTATTTAAACTGCAATTATCTGGTACGCAGTGTGCACTAATTACAGGAGCAGAAATGTTCCCAGTTGTACTTGGTATGATTATGTTCTTGTGCTTTCCTGCAGGAAGCTTATTTTCGGTACATGGCAGAGAACCCAACTGCTGGTGTGGTTCAAGAGGAAGAGGAAGATAATTTGGAATATGATAGTGATGGAAATCCAATTGCACCTTCCAAAAAAATCATTGATCCTCTTCCTCCCATTGATCATTCAGAGGTATGATGTTTTTTGATGAATCTGATTCTTGTTTCAAGCCAATAGTTTCTTCAGTGTTAAAAATATCTGAGTACTCAATATCTGAGTACTCCTGATTTATACTCCTTATGTCGTAAGAATATTTGTTCTTGGGGATCTTGTCAGCTCTGCCAAGTGGTTGAAACAAAAAGTAACTGAGTGATTGAGGCTTTATAGCCTATGTTGTTCAAGGTACAGCTGAATTGCTTGTTCACATTCGATTATATGTGAAGAATTTTTTTTCAATAAATTGTACTTCTTTTCTAGACCAGTGGTCGCCAACCGGTGGTCTGTGGACCACTGGTGTTCTGTGAGATCACTTACCCATCTTCCTTTCAAAATGGACTGTTAGGCCTGCATTTATTTTATAATTGCTGTAAACCTTTATTTCTCACAGATATGGAGCAGATAAGAGACTGTTCTTTCAAAGGGGTACCAGGAATTACAGGTTCCTTAAATCAGGAAAAGGAAATGAGGATATCCGTATATTCACTTGAAAAAAAATCATATTTCATCGAGGTTAAACATCAGACTAGACCTTTGATACCCTAGTGATTCTAGATCTAGAACAATGGTTCTCAAGTGTGGCCCAAGGATTCCTGGAATGATCTTTTCAGGGATTCTACAGTCAAAGAATTTTCATAATGTTAAGATTTTTGCTTTTTGTTTACTGTGTCAGCATTTGTATCAGTGCTTAAAATCAATGTTAGATAAAACTATTCTAACACCTTAGCATGAATCAACAGTAGTAACTATCCCTGGCCGATTGCTCAGTGGTTAGTGTCAACCCCTGGACCAAAGGGTCGCAGGTTCAATTCCTGTTTGAATGCACATATCACAGTTGCAGGCTCAATCTCCAGCCCCGGTCTCTTTCACGTCAATGTTTCTCTCTTTCCTCCCACTCTTCCCCACCTCACTCCCTTCCACTCTTTCTAAAAAATCAATGGAAAATATATGCTCAGGTGAGAATTTAAAAAGACAGTGATACCAACTGTTCTTGTAGTCAGTATACTCTTTCCTGCTAGACCAGTGGTTCTCAACCTTGGCTGCACATTAGAATCACCTGGGAATCTTTTTAAAATTCTGATTTCTGGGCCTCATCCTCCGGAAATTCGGTTTCTTTGTTACTAATGTTGTGGCCCCACCCCATAACAACGAAACAGAATTTCCAGAGGATGAGGCCCAGAAATCAGGATTTTAAAATGATTCCCAGGTGATTCTTATGTGCAGCCAAGGTTGAGAACCACTGTACTAGACTATCACAGTTTAAAAAAAAAAAAAGCCAGCTTCACTTAAGAATATCTTTGAAACAGCCCAGCTGATGTGGCTCAGTGGTTGCGCATCAACCTATGAACCAGGAGCCCACGGTTCGATTCCCAGTCAGGGCACATGCCTGGGTTGCAGGCGTAAGCCTCAGTGGTGGGCGTGCAGGAGGCAGCCAGTTAATGATTATCTCTTATGATTGATGTTTCTACCTCTCCCCCATCCTTTCTGAAATCAATAAAAATATATATTTTAAAAATAATACCTTTGAAACAGTAGAAATTATTATTTACTAAATCTTGATCTTACGTTACATGTCCTTTTTTCTGTGTCAAACAATGGAAAGTAAGAATAAAGCATTTGCCTTAGCTGGTTTGACTCCGTGGATAGATCATAGTCCTGCGGATTGAAGGGTCCCAGGTTCGATTCCCGTCAAGGGCACATGCCCAGGTTGTAGGCTCATTCCCCAGTAGGGGATGTACAGGAGGCAGCCAATCAATGATTCTGTCTCATCATTGATGTTTCCATCTCTCTCTCCCTCTCCCTTCCTATCTGAAATCAATAAAAATATATTAATAGAATAAAGCATTTAGGTATTGGAGTTGTGAGTTGAACTAGCTATTTTTCTCATGGAATATTGTTTTTACTTGAGAAAATGAATGGCACTTTAAGGAAAACAATTACAAGTGTTTATTGCCAAGGTTAGAAACTTAAACTTTCAAACAAAACTTAGAATTTTGGAAACATATTCATCACAGTGAGCTTGTCAGCTTTCTTATATGTAAAGTCTGTTGTAATGAAATTGATGGTAATAACTGATTTTAAAAATAGGTGTTTATAATGAAATTTTACCATTTGAATCATCTGCATACTACCTCAGTAAACCAGTGTTTTCAAAATGGCCAGTCCATGATGTTATAAAATCATGCATGAATAAAGATTCCCATTCAAAGTGTATACGTTAGATTCATTGGTTATAATGTAACAGAATGTAAAAGTTCATGATATGATTTCAGATTACGCAGTGAAAATAACCTGTAAGAAATGACCTCTTGTCAAGTTTTAGTATAGAATTGAGGAAGAGTAAAAATCCACAACAATCTGCAAAGGCTGTTAATAAATACTTAATTCCCTTTTCCAATCACATATCTCTGAGGAGCCAGATTTTTTCCTGGGCTGAAAGCAACCATTTTCTTTTGTCAGACATTAAAGAGATTTCTAAAAATGTAAAACAATGTTGTCAAAACTTATTTTTATTAAAGCATTTATGTTAAAGTGTAATGGGTTTATTGTAAATTTTTTAAAAATCTATTTTTATTGATTTCAGAGAGGAAGGAAGAGAGAAATATTAGTGATGAGAGAGAATCATTGATCAGCTACCTCCTATACCCCTTACATTAGGTATCAAGTCCACCACCAGGGCAGTTGCCTTGACCAGGAATCGGACTGTCAATGCTCAACCACTGAGCCATGCTGGTCGGGTCGTTGTTATTTTTTAAATGAATTAATAAATTTTTAAAAATTTTTTTAAAAATATATTTTATTGATTTTTCACAGAGAGGAAGAGAGAGAGATAGAAAGTTAGAAACATCGATGAGAGAGAAACATCGATCAGCTGCCTCCTGCACATCTCCCACTGGGGATGTGCCCGCAACCCAAGTACATGCCCTTGACTGGAATCGAACCTGGGACCTTTCAGTCCGCAGGCCAACGCTCTATCCACTGAGCCAAACCGGTTTCGGCAATTTTAAAATTTTTTACTTTAATTTTAACACAGTACATATCAATAGATATAACCCACATATCTAGTTTTGTTAAGTGTAAAGGGTACCTGAAGCTAAAAAGTTTGAGAACCACCGGTCTATTCAGTTTTCTAAATGTTTCCTTTTGCATAAATGCTGTCACATAATGCCTTCGTATTTTACATGTGACAGATGAAACGAAATACTTGAATCTGATCTAGGAAGAACTATCCATGATAAAGAGTGAAAATTCAATAAGGAAAAACATACAAGTACTTGAAATAATCATCTAATAAAAAAATCTTTGACAAAGTGCTCAAACTTCGTCATCCTGGGGTATTCCCAGTTCTTCTTATGTAATGGGTAGTCTGCCAGGAGAGACCAGAAGTAAAGGAAGGATATCCCTTCTACTGAAAAGTAGCTTTCTTCTCATTCTGTTTCTTAATATAAAAATTTACATGTTTATATGTAAAATTTGTGAACAAAAATAAAAATTCTTGCTCATGGAGCTTCCATTCTGATAAAGAGAACTAAAGGAAATGGGTAAAGACTCTATTATGTGCAGCAGCATTGTGGGTCTCATAACAAAAGTTCCTGCCTAAAAGGCAAACTGTAAGGCTTTTTGTTAACAGTGCTATAGAGAGATAATTAGGCTGTGTCCAGAATTAGGAAGTTTTCGACCACCTAGTAAAGATTTAGAAGATTCTCCTTAAGTTTATTGTGGACATACCATGTTGTCAAAAAGAAAATCATTTAACCAAATTCATATGTGGTGGTTTGCTTCGGTTTTGTATTATTAGTACAGTAAGCAGTGAAGAGTAGCAGAAATTACTTCTTCCCTTCTTGGAATTGGAAGTGCTTGGTCATTCCTTTTTTAAAAGTTATGTAAACAGTTCCATGTTTTTAAAAAGAATAGAACTTCCTCTACACACAGATCTGTCCCCAAAGGAAATATTAGAAATATTTTTAAATGCTTAGAGCTAAGTGAGTGAACAGCTTACTCCAAAACATTTAAATGTTATAGGGTGGACTATTTTCTTTTAAAATCTGAAGCCTTTGGCATTGTAAATTCCTTAGTCTTCATCAAAGTTGTTAAAAATCTTTTTTTTATTATTTTTTAAAGTATTACATATGTCCCCTTCCCCCCCTTGACCCCCTCTACTCTGCTTCCACCCTTCACTCCCCTGGAGTGTGGTGTGTGTTTTTTGTGGGTTTTTTTTTTTTTAAATATATTTTTATTGATTTCAGAGAGGAAGGGAGAGGGAGAGAGAAACATCAATGATGAGAATCATTGATCGGCTGCCTCCCGCACACCCCCTCCTGGGGATCGAGCCCACAGTCCAGGTGTGTGCCCTTGACTGGAATTGAACCTGGGACCCTTCAGTCTGCAGGCCAGTGCTCTATTTACTGAGCCAAACCAGCTATTGCTGAAGTGTGCTCTTATGTGTCTCTTTAGAAAGCAGGTTGGTGTTTATATTGAAAATGGGATTAGGGAATGGTACTAGTTGTACTTTGGGGATGTTTGTCATGAATAAGTGAATTCCTTTGTTCTCTGATATGGCTTTACTTGTGTAATATTTGTAAAAGGTTATTTTGCATTAAAGTCAAACTTACAGGATTGACTCTTGAATTCTAGACTAACTTTGAATAATTGGACCTGCAGATTGACTATCCACCATTTGAAAAAAATTTTTACAATGAGCATGAAGAGATAACAAACCTCACCCCACAGCAGCTAATAGATCTCCGGCATAAGCTCAATCTTCGGGTAAGTTCAACCATTAAGCTAGATATTCTTAATCTTGAATTTCTTTTCTAATGGTCTCTGGACTGTCTTTGTTAGAGCAATAATTATATCCCTTGGGCTCATGTGTCTTGTTTTTATTGTATTAGTCTTCCAGCTCTTCGAAGATAGGATTGTATTCTTCTTGCATGTGACACACATGAATGCTAAATGTGTTCAGTCAACTTCGTATGTTGTATGGATCAATATGTCATTGCACTCTTAAAATTAATCAAGTATTTCTCCAACGAATAGTGTTTTGAGAACTGTGTTTGGTGGGCTAGAAATGAATGGTAGGAGTCACCTTCAGGAAGAGAAGACAAGATCAGTAGATGTGATCAATACATAAAGTCAGAATATTTCAAAATTAAGATACACTTGCTTCTCAAATTACATACAGCACAGTTGTGTGTGTGTTTTTCAATTAGAAGAAATTAACACCTTTTAAAAACATGAGTGCACTAATTTCACAGTAATAGTGTAAATTGCCCACCCAAAAAGTTTAGGTTATACATTGGCCATGTTGTTTAGGGTGCTGCTAGATGTTAGTAAAGTGAAACACACAGGTAATACGGTGATATCTACTCTGGTGTGGACAGCTTTTTGGCCTATGCCTTACCAGTTGTTATGTGATATTTGAACTTCTGTTTTCTGACAGTGTATATATGTGTGTCTATTTGCCAAAAGTACCCCCCCCCCCAAAAAAAAAAAATATCTTTTACGCAAAATCCTGATTAGAAATAGATAGCATCACCAGAGGAAGCACTGAGAGGTTATCACTGTTGGAATCAACATGGAAACTATAAGCTTTGTTCTTTACCTGGGTACAGTGTAGTGCTTGACAGTGTCTGGACCATCACTAAGTGGAGAATTAACTCCTCAAGCATGACTAAACATGGAGATGGCAGGTATCTTTGTAACCAGTGGGTTACAAAGGCATACCATATCTAGAGCTCATTTGCACTCTTTATTTTATTTTAAGAGCAACTTTTATTTTTTTCTACCATCTGGCTAATAGTTATGCAAAATGGTAAAAAATAAAATGACATTTTTCAATGAATTGAACAATGATTTTTTAATTTCTTACAGAAGATTAATTTTTATTAAAGAGATATCTAGGCACTTAATCATTTTAAATCATGACATTTATCTCAGGAATATTTATCCTGGAGTCTTTTATATAAGGTTTTAGATCTGTTATTTTCTTACCTTTTTAACAGCATTGCTTTTGGCTACAGGCGTACATTTTCACATTATATTCAAGCTAAATGCTAGGTTCAGGTAAATATTGTTGAACTTCCAGTGCTATTGATTTTGAAGTACAAATCATTCCTGGGAGTTGTCTTTACCTCTAGGTCTCTGGTGCTGCACCTCCTAGACCAGGAAGCAGTTTTGCTCATTTCGGGTTTGATGAACAACTTATGCACCAGATTCGGAAATCTGAATACACACAGCCCACTCCAATACAGTGCCAGGTAAGTAAAGCATACTGATAGGAAAATGAAGTAGAATGATAGTCAGTGACTGTGTTTATTTTACAAACAAGTCAAATCAATAAAACACTAGTTAGTGCAGCCCTGGCCAGTGTGGCTCAAATTGGTTGGAGCATCGTCCTGTACATCAAAAGGTGGCAAGTTTGATTCCCCATCAGGGCACATACTCAGGTTGTGGGTTCAATTCCTGATGTTTCTCCCTCTCCCTCTCACCCTCTCTCCCACTCCGTCTCCCTCTCCCTAAAATCAATTTAAAAAACAAAACACACTGATTAGTACAGAACTGTATTGACATGGGTAGAATGTATCCATATATTCCCTCTGTAGCTTCGTCTTCGACCTTTGCCCTAAATAAGGGGAGAGGAGGGAAGACGTACATGAAATAAAGAGTCTAATAAAAAAGGTTATGTGTGGCCCGGTCAGAGATTTCTGGTTGAGTGTCATTCTGTGAACCAAAAGGTTGCCAGTTCAATTCCCCGTCAGAACACATACCCAGGTTGCGGGTTCGATCCCTCTTCCTCCTCCCCCCATCAAGGTCAGGGTGTGTACAGAAGGCAACTGATCGGTGTTTTTCTCTCACATCGATATTTTTATGTGTGCCCCCCCCCCCTCCAGTCATGTCCTCGGTTGAGGATAAAATAAAAAATAAAGATTTCTGTGGACAAATTTAGTACTCGTCAGTGACTAGGATCCCTTTGGCTGTGACCTGAAAATTCTCATTGTAACTGAAAGTAGTACCTTCTTTTTCACATTTATATACCAGATTCATTCCTACACCAAAATTGAGAATTTTATGTATGTGGATGGGGCAGTCTGTACCTTCTTAAGGGGACAAGATCTTAAAAATTTTAGTAACATACTTATAAATTACAATTTTTTTATTTCTATATTTTAAGCAGAATGAAGTCATTCATATTTTGTAAGTGGTGGCTGATCCATATGAAGAGAATGATAAATATTTCTTCCAAATCAAGAAGTTTAGGGGAATGCCATGTATTTTTTGTTATTCCATAGTTGGCATGCATAGCCCAGGATAATTTTGTTCCAGTGAAAATGCATGTCATTAATAGTCATTTACTCCTTCCCCAGAATTTCCTTCAAAACATCTTCACAATAGAAGGTTGAAAGTGGATATATTTTGTTTTTCTCTAGGGTGTGCCTGTGGCATTAAGTGGAAGAGACATGATTGGTATTGCCAAAACAGGCAGTGGAAAAACTGCTGCCTTTATCTGGCCCATGCTGATTCATATAATGGACCAGAAGGAACTGGAACCAGGTGATGGACCAATTGCAGTGATTGTGTGTCCTACGAGGGAGCTTTGCCAGCAGGTATGTGCTTTGTATGGAATGCCTCCTTGCAAATGTGAACTAGCAAGGGACCAACCAGTTAAGTGGGTAGAATTACAGGAAACTTCTTTTTCAATTGTGATAAAATACACATCAAATTTCCCATTTTAACCATTTGTAAATGTGCAATTCAGTGGCATTAAATACATTTACATTGAGCTACCAGGAAACTTTTGGATAATATTGTTATATACTTTCTATATGACCAAATACATACTTTCCTTTGAAAAACTACTCTTTTAAGACTTTTTAAAAGGCTATGAGAATTGTTTAAGTATTTTCTAGCACTTTATTTTCTGACATTTATTCTGAGTGTGTTCTATAACTCCCTTTTTTGTTGTGACAAAGGTTTTTGTCAGAGTTTGTTAATGTGTCATTATGTCCACAACTTTTTAGATCCATGCAGAATGTAAGCGGTTTGGAAAAGCATATAATCTTCGATCAGTGGCCGTGTATGGAGGAGGAAGCATGTGGGAGCAGGCCAAGGCCCTTCAGGAAGGGGCAGAGATTGTTGTGTGTACCCCAGTAAGTATGTCTTGGATTTAATGGCTTCTCGGCCTCTCTTTGTATGGAAAAGTGGTTAGTTATTAGAGGGAATTCCCCCTAAAATGTGTTAGAGCATGGTAGAGAATACTCTGATGAGTCACAGCCTATGGCCATGGTTGGCAAACTGCGGCTCGCAAGCCACATGCGGCTCTTTGGCCCCTTGAGTGTGGCTCTTCCACAAAATACCACGTGCGGGCACGCGTACAGTGCGATTGAAACTTCGTGGCCCATGCACAGAAGTCGGTTTTCGGCCTGGGCGAGTCTATTTTGAAGAAGTACTGTTCATATTTGGCTCTGTTGACTAATGAGCTTGCCGACCACTGGCCCATGGCATTGGTTTAATTTTGATTAATTGACTAAAATAGCAGTCCATTAAGATTCTCTGATCTATATATTAACGAGAGGCCTGGTGCACTTGCCGGGGCGGGGAGGGGGGGGCGGGGGAGTGGGTGTCCTTCAGCCTGACCTGCACCCAGGAGCCCTTGGGGGATGTCCAACTGATACAGGGGAGGGGAGTGGGCCTAAGCTTCAATCTGGCCTCCCTCTGCGGGAGGTGACCCACAGGTCGATCGGGGAACGGCTCCAGCCAGTGAGTGGCAGCCCCTCCGCTCCCCCCCCCCCCCCATTACCGTCCCCTCCCTCTGCCTGCTGGCACCTGCCTTGTCTGGCCTGGTGCCACCTGCTCACCAGCCCCGCCCCCTGCCAACTGGTCATTCCGTCATTCAGACCATTTGCATATTATTAGGCTTTTATTATATAGGATAGCTACAAATTCCCCTTTATTTAAAATAAGTTTTCTTATGTTCTCCTAGAAAATGGATGAGGTCACTGAGAGCATCAAGAATCAGAAAGGCATTCAAAGTATAGTCAGGCTGTCTAGAAGAGTAGTCTAAACATTAAAGCCCATCAGTAAGGTTTTAAATTAGGTCATTTCAGAATGCCTCACAAAAAGTGTTCTGGCCATTTTCCCACAATTTAAATCACAATGTAAAGGAAGAATCTAATGGAGTTTTCAAAATTTCTGGGGTTTTTTAGGCTTTGTCAGGGCTGTCGGACCAGGGTCTGTTATAGTCTAAGACATATTAATACTTTTGCCAGGAACGCAGCTCTAGAAAGTTGTTGTAAATGCCTTTAATTATATTTACTATTCATTTTCTGGGTCTCATAGGGTCGACTGATTGATCATGTGAAGAAGAAAGCTACCAATCTTCAGAGAGTCTCTTACCTTGTATTTGATGAAGCAGATCGAATGTTTGACATGGGATTTGGTATGCTCTGAATACCAGTTTCTTCTGTCCCTGATCTCATGATACTAATTTTTCCCATGTCTGGACTTAGCAATTTTTTTTTTTTTTCTGTGAGAGAAGCTAAAAATATTCCTGGGGAGGGTTAGATTGTAGAGCTACAGCTAAAATATTAACTATTTTTAGGAGTTCCCTCAGGAGAAGTATGTTAGGTGTGATTGGGTTGAGGACAATTGAAAATGCCTTTGTATGTAGGGGGAATATTGGTTTTATGTTTTATTTTTATTCATATGCCTTTGATTGTGGATGTCAAGGTCTGTGTTCTTAGTTGGGTGGATGTCATGTCATTCAAGGCCCTTTGCTTTCCTGTCCTCCTTCACTTAACCTGGTTGTGTAAAAATTCTAGCTGTCTTCATTGATTGAAACACTACTGGACCTACCCCAACTGGGTGGAGGACAAAATGTTTTCTGCGTTTCATACTGAATGATAGATCTAGGAGTTTCAAAGTTTCCTTATTTCTCCCCCCCCCCCCCACCCGCCCCCACCCTTAATTCTTACAACCTTTCATATGAAGATTTTTACTAAAATGACTTTTCCAGGCATCCCAAACTGTATTGCAGAGTTATAATAATTGTACTGTTCTACTTCTTCCAGAGTACCAGGTGCGGTCGATAGCCAGTCATGTCCGTCCTGACAGACAAAGTATGTATGAAGCAGTTCATTAAGCCACATTTGTACTCAGAATAAGCTCCTCTATTTATTTTATAAGCACTCAGTTGTGGCAGCAAAAGTGATCATGTGTGTGTCCTGGTGAGAACTATAAAGGGTGAGATAGTGACAGTTTATCTGAGCTGCACAGGACCTTAGAGGTCATCGGTTATAATTCACTCATTTTTATAGATGAAAATACTAAGGCTGAGAATTGAGTGACTTGCTCCAATATATACAGTTTTATTGGGTAGAGGCAACGCACAGTGCAGATATGATTTCTGACAACCCTGTCTTAACAGAAAATGTATAAAAATAGAGTACGATCAAGCCTTTTTTCCTTAGTAAATCAGTTTTTTTGGTTTGCTTTTGTTTTAACTAAAGTTAAAGTTCAGGTAGGCTTATTTTTTAAAAACTGAATATTTTTTAAAAACTATTTTGAATGTCAGTAGGAAGCTTAATGGTTATTCAAAAAAGAAGTCATACTCTTTAACAAAATTTAATTTACCTTTTAGCTCTCTTATTCAGTGCAACTTTTCGGAAAAAGATTGAAAAACTGGCCAGAGACATCCTGATCGACCCTATTCGAGTGGTGCAGGGAGATATTGGAGAGGTAACCTTAGCAGGGCTGGATGGGACTTCAGTGATTATGGAGACATGGAATGAATTTCTTAACTACTGAGAGGAAAAATATGTATTTATGGATGAGGCAGCATGTTTCAAACTTGATTTAAAGTTAAATATCCAAAGAGAAGGGACGCCCTGTTGGTTAGAGTGTGGTCTCTATATACCAAGGTTGTGGGTTTGATCCCCGCCAGGGCCCATACAAGAATCAACCAATGGATCCATAAATAAATGCATCCATTTTTTAAAAAAAATATTTGTGGGGAAAAAAGAAACAAGCTTTGCCTAGAACACTACCACTCAGGATAGAACTGACATTTAAAATGATGGAGGGAGGAGACCTGCACAGCATGGAGTGGGGGACTTGAATGGCCTGGTGAAAATGAGTTAAGGGTTTTTTCCTTACCTGTATAGATGCGCTGTGTGGAAAATTTCTCTTGAATTGTGATTTGGAATTGAGTTAAGGCTGCCTTGAGAATTCCTTAAGTTGCTTGCCATGTTTATTAAAGTTCTGTGCAGTTAGCATTTTGACAGTGTCCATTCTTCACTTTTGAGTGCCTTCTGTGTGTGTGGATGAATTCTAGGAACAGTGAGTGGGAGGGGCAGAAAAGGAGCTTAATTTATTAAGAATAATCTGAGTAGTGGGCATATAAAAAATATTGCGGTTAGCAGATTAGTTGGTACACGTACGCATTAGGGGAGATAGAGAGCACAGTGATTTGAGAAAGGGACCTAAGTTTCAAGTGCACTTGACTTGCTGAAGGAAGGCCCAGGAGAAGAGAGATTGTTTACGGTTCTGCTAGATGCAGGTAGAAAATGTGATGTCTGGTCCTTGTTCAGGTGCCCTGTGGCACAAATGTCACAATCCTGTTTCATTTCTTCCTTTTCAGGCAAATGAAGATGTGACACAGATTGTGGAAATTCTCCATTCTGGGCCTAGTAAATGGAACTGGCTTACCCGGCGTCTGGTCGAGTTTACCTCTTCTGGGAGTGTCCTCCTGTTTGTTACTAAAAAAGCCAATGCTGAGGAGCTGGCCAATAACCTTAAACAGGAGGATCATAATCTTGGGCTGCTTCATGGGGACATGGATCAGAGTGAAAGAAACAAGGTCATTTCAGACTTTAAGAAAAAGGACATTCCCATCCTGGTGGCCACCGATGTTGCAGGTAGGATATGAACTTCCCCAATAACCTTAGGTGTCTGTGCTGTAAGGATGCTCCGTCTTGCTATACAAGACCTATAATACCTGATCAAGCTGATTGAGGGTGCTCTGCTGGCCTGGCTGGCCATACCCCATGGAGCAATTTAGAGTACACTGAGCATAACCAGAAAGAGGTTAATTTCTCAGCCTCAAGGCATATTTGAAGCTGATTTTAATTTTTTATATATTCCTGGTGCAAGAGAGGCAATGGCAGGTTATGATGGCAGATGTTATATACCTTACAGTAGGTGGCCCTGCATCATAGACTCTATAGTAGTGGCATTTGTTCTAGAAGGGTAACTTGTATCTCAGCTCAGCAAACTATGCACTTTGCCTAGATAAGAATGGAATTTGGGCCTGGCTGCAGTGGCTCAGCGGTTGAGGGTCAACCTATGAACCTGGAGGTCACAGTTTGATTCCCAGTCAGGGTATATGCCTGGGTTGCAGGCTTGATCCCCAGTAGGAGGCAGCCAATCAGTGATTCTCTTCATTGATGTTTCTATCTCCATCTCCCTTCCTCTCTGAAATCAATAATATATATGTAATATATATATGTGAAAGAATGGAACCTGAGTTCTTAGAGATTTAGCATTTGGGGTTACTTTGCTTTTTTGTTGCTTTTTTTAAAATATATTTTTATTGATTTCAGAGAGGAAGGGAGAAAGAGAGAGAGAGAGAGAGAGAGAGAGAGAGAAACATCAATGATGAGCCTTGACTGGTTTGGCTCAGTGGGTAGAGCGCTGGCCTGCAGACTGAAGGATCCCAGGTTCAACTCCAATCAGGGGCATGTACCTTGGTTGTGGGCACATCCCCAGTAGGGGGTGTGCTGGAGGCAGCTGATGTTTCCCTCTCATCAATGTTTCTCTCGATCCCTCTCTCTCCCTCTCTGTAAAAAATCAATAAAATATATTTTAAAAAAGAAACATCAGTGATGAGAGAGAATCATTGATCAGCTGCCTCCTACACGCCCCCTACTAGGAATCGAGCCCACAACCAGGCATGTGCCCTTGACCGGAATCGAACCTGGGACCCTTCAGCCCGCAGGCCGGTTCTCTATCCACTAAGCCAGACCAGCTAGAGAGGGGTTACTTTGGTTTTTGACTCCTGATGAAGAATAAAAGAATTTGGTTTATTATTTCAGCCCGTGGTCTGGACATTCCTTCAATTAAGACTGTCATTAACTATGATGTGGCTCGAGACATTGATACCCATACTCATAGAATTGGCCGCACAGGACGAGCGGGTGAGAAGGGTGTGGCCTATACCTTGCTAACCCCCAAGGACAGCAATTTTGCTGGTGATCTTGTCCGGAACTTGGAAGGAGCCAATCAACATGTTTCCAAGGAACTCCTAGATCTGGCGATGCAGGTGAGGGGCTGGGCACACTTCAGGTTGCTCCAAGTTGTAATACTAAACTAGGTTACCAAATTCCAACAAGCCTGAGGCAGATAACCTAGAAACATGTCAAGAAAGGAGGGGGAGTGGAGGGAATAGTGCTTAGAGGTACTGATCAGTTTTGTAGGGCATTAAAATTCATCTGGTTATCTTCTCATCCTTTCCTTTCAGCAGCATCTATGTAAGTGTAATTTCAAAGATGGCTTCTATTCCTCCCAAACAGTCTTCTCTTTTGGGGGCTAAAAATGTGTGACGTCTTAAAAAATTATGTGTTTAACTATTCCTCATAGACTTAGATTTCAGATTTTAGACCACACTGATTGCCAGTCCAAAATTGAGTGAGCCATTCTACCGAATTAAATCTTAAGTCGTGTTAATACATGCAATCCCCAAATTACAAATGTGTTCAGAGTACACATTCTGATATCAGAGACTTACGTGTTTTTCAGATAGGCCAGCCTACAGCACTGTTACCCATAATGCGGTTGTCATGTGGTCCTGAGAGTAAAGGACCTGTGAGAGTAGTTTCCTTCCCTTTCCTGGGTGTAGAGAGCCAATTCTAAACTGAAAGTTTGAACAAGATACATCTCTTTTTGTGCCTCAGGCTTCCTGTGCTCTCATACTGTCAGCTTCTCATCACCTTTGCCAAGCTTGCCCTGCCTCTCAAGAACTTTGGCATGTGTGATTGTCAGTCAAAGCTCTAACCTCCCCCAGAGGTGTTTGCATTCTGAAGAGAATGTGAATAAATCTGATTAGTAGTATTCTGGCAGTGATCTAGTTCAGTGAAAACTTTTACGCTCTGTGGGTAAAATTTTATTTTTATTTATGTGACTACCAGTCCTGGGCCTAGAGTCGATTCTAATAAACCTCACTTCACATAGTTTTTCCTCTACTTCTGAACCCAGTAATTCTTTAAAAGCTCTGAGTTTTTATGTCCAGTGGTTTGTATAGGTAAATTGCAAACTAGAAAACAAATTCACTTTCCTCAAGGAAGTTAGAAGTGGCCAGCGTAACTAATCACTTCCCTTGGAGGCCTGGGGGAAGGAGCAATAAAGGAAGCCTTAGATAAAGATCTAAGCCGCCTGAGAGATTGGTGGATTGAACTACCTAAAGGAAGGGAATCTGTGGTTCTTGGCTAAAGATGAAGCAAGAAGCTCTTCCCTCCCACTTAGTTTCCTCTTCGATCTGATCCTTTCTCTGGCCCCTTCTCTCTACCCTGGCTTAACCTTGAATTGTGTTCAATGCAGAATGCCTGGTTTCGGAAGTCCCGCTTCAAAGGAGGGAAAGGCAAAAAGCTGAACATTGGTGGAGGAGGCCTGGGCTACAGGGAGCGGCCTGGGCTAGGCTCTGAGAACACGGTGAGTCCGTACTACAGTAGTGCCCTGAAGGCTGGTCCTGAGTCCTGAGTAATGTAGGACTATTCTCCTCTACCTGAGAAAACCTCAGTGAGTTCGGAATTCTGTCTAGAAGGAAGCTTGTGTTCAATTTGCTGGCTTACCTCTACATTAATGCTTGTTCTTAGTGTTGTGACTTCTATTGAAGAAGCACCTTGATGTGCTCAGGAAGTCAGTCTAGATTAGCAGTGGTTCCTGGACTAGCAGTAAATGTAGACTTATGCCCCCCGCAGACCTGGTGAATCAGAAACTCTGGACATGGGACTCCACAGTCTGTTTTCCCAGCACTCGCCTCGATAGAGCCTGCTGCTAGACATGCCACAGGGTCACTGTGTAGATTCTAGTTGTATCTTGTAACTAAACTCAGGAGTGATTTCTACATTCTCTGGGAAATTTCATCAGAGAGAGGAGAGGGAGAGCTTTTCTCACAAATCAGGTAACAAAAGCTCTCCCTGACTTGCTATCTTAACTGCCTGTTTCCTGTTACTCTGATTCCTAAGCCAAGTCTACATTTCTGGATCATTATAGTTAGCTTGGTATCCTTGATAAATAATCTGTTCCCACATTATAGTATTGAACACTTACTATATGCCAGGTCCATTCCAAGCAGGCATGCATATTAACTCAGTCTTCTCAGCCACTCAGTAAGAGTGAGTACAGATAAGAAAACTGAGGCACTCAGGGTTACACACTGGTAAGTGACAAAGCTAAGGTTCAGACTCAAGGGTCTGGATTCAAAGTATGTGCATACTGCCATGTTGCCTTTCCATCTTTAATATAATCTATACATATAAAAGTCTAAGCGACCTTTACGACCAGATGACTGGCTGGTAGCTATGGTGTGCACTGACCACCAGGGGGCAGATGCTCAGTGCAGGAGCTGCCCTCTGGTGGTCATTGCGCTCCTACAGCCAATTTCCCACTGCCAGCCAGCCTCCAGTGATCCCTACCCCAGCCGGCCCAATCAGCCTTGATTGGCCCTGATCGATGGCCAGGCCGAGGGACCCCACTGTGCATGAATTTGTGCACCAGGCCTCTAGTTTTTACATAATTACATAAACATGTTCATGTTTGTGTATAAATAATGCCACATAATCAGCTTTGGGCATAATCTGATCTCATTTCTCATTATTTATGATTAATTTCCAGAAATAGAAATACTGGGTTGAAAGGCATAGTGTTTCTAAATTATTCATCATTACCACACCTTTTCTCACAAAACATAACTTCCTAAAAAAAAATCCTGTTCCCTTTCCCACTCGTTTTCAGTATGTTGAGGCCTAGTCTATAGCAGGGGCTCTCCTACTTTGCATCCATTCTTACAGTGTGCTTATTTTTTAGGACCGAGGAAATAACAACAATGTAATGAGCAACTATGAGGCCTACAAGCCCTCCACAGGAGCCATGGGAGATCGGCTGACGGCAATGAAAGCGGCTTTCCAGGTATGAGATCAGCATTTAGTTAAAAGAGCTACAGCAGTAATTCTTGGGCAATGACAAGGGGGCCTAGCCTTGAGATGTAGCTGGGCTTGTGCACTTGATACTGGATTTCTCTCACTGCTTTCCATTTTGAACATAAACTGTAGCTAATCTAGAGATGCAGGTGTAGAGGCTACAGAAACCCCTCTTGCTGTCGTCTACCTCAGGCACACTGAGCCCAGGACTGTGGCACTGCAGCAGGATTGCCGTTCCCTTCTGCCTCACCAACCTACTGAGTTTCCTCCTCAAAGGCTACTGCTATCTGGTTGACAGTAATATTTTAGCTAAGACAAATTTGATTCTGTATCTAGGGAACTCTTCTACCTTTACCCCTCCAGTTAGCTGGCCTTAATTTACATATTTTATCCATCTCCAGATTAATATGCACAGAAGCCACAGGATTGTGGGGCTGTCAGGATGCTAAAATCACAGGGCCAAGACAGTATGGATACTCTCGTGTGTGTGAACACCCTAGTTCCTGTATATCATTGCCAAGCTTATAAGTTTCTTGAACTCACCATCATAACTATTTTCGTTCTTTTTCTCTCTTAGTCACAGTACAAGAGTCACTTTGTTGCCGCCAGCTTAAGCAACCAGAAAGCTGGAAGTTCTGCTGCTGGGGCAAGTGGATGGACAAGTGCAGGGAGCTTGAATTCTGTACCATCTAATTCAGCCCAGCAGGGTCTTAACAGTCCTGATAGCCCCGTTGCTAGTGCCACCAAGGGCATCTCAGGCTTTGGCAATACTGGGAACCTCAGCAGTGCCCCGGTGACCTACCCCACTGCTGGAGCCCAGGGAGTCAACAACACAGCTTCAGGGAATAACAGCCGAGAAGGGATTGGGGGTAGCAATGGGAAGAGAGAGAGATATACTGAGAACCGGGGTGGCAGCCGTCACAGCCATGGAGAGAGTGGCAGTGGCAATCGGCATGGTGATAGCCCACGTCATGGAGACGGTGGTCGCCATGGAGATGGATACCGCTATCCAGAAAGCAGCAGCCGTCATACTGATAGCCATCGTCATGGGGAGAACAGGCATGGAGGAGGTGGAGGCCGACATGGAGAGAGCCGAGGTGCAAATGATGGCCGAGGTGCAAATGATGGCCGGGGTGCAAATGATGGCCGGAATGGTGAAAGCAGGAAAGAAGGTTGTAATCGTGAGAGCAAGATGGACCCCAAGGTGGATAGCAGTAAGATGGATAAGATGGACGGCAAGACAGATAAGACAGCTGATGGTTTTGCTGTCCCTGAGCCACCCAAGCGCAAGAAAAGTCGATGGGACAGTTAGATGGTATGTGCTGAAGTGTGAAATCCTTTGTTATTTTTAGAAAGATTTTTGGTAATTAGGTGTCTCAGGGCTGGGTTGGGTGGGGCCCAAGGTGTAAGGACCCCCTTCCCTTAGTGGGTAGCTGGCCCTTGGAGACATTACCCCTTCATCTGGATCGTTTTTTGGATTATTTTGGGGGGCTGCTTTGATCATAAGCAGTGAGAACTGGGAAGCTTCTTTTGGCTCTGGGTTTGTTGTAAGGGCCTTATAGGATATAAAACTCTAGGTTTATATCATGTAGTGTGTATTTTTTACTGTCAGCTTATAAACATCTATAAGTAAAAATCTTTTTCTTAGCCATGTGCCCAGGCAGTCCCTTTTAGGAGTTGGCTTCTGCAAAGCCAGTCCTTTGAGGTGTTAGGGATGTTTGGGAAGCACTTTGGTGCTTCCATACATTTGCAGGGAAGGGAGGTATCTGATTCTAAGTGGAGTTGATGCTCAGGTTTGTATCCAGCCCTGAGACAGGAAGAAGCAGCCTGTAGTAGAAGCCCAGAGCCACTACTATTAAAAGGTGAAAGATGATCCTAAAAACAGGATTGCTCCAGGTCTGAAGTGTTGCTAAATTTAAAACCCCAACAGCTTTTAACTGTCTTCCCCTATTTCATTGTGTGTTGTTTTTTTTTTAACTTGCCACAATGGTAGAAAAATCTTTTGCTGAGATGATTTTGATGATTTTTGTTCTATGTTGTTTATAAAGGAAATATACATAATTCAAATTTTGTGACTTTGTGAAGGTTTCTTTAAGATGTGCATTCTTTTCTGCTTGCTCTAGTAAATGTTTTACTACTGGGACCTGTGGATTGTCTGTCATTTCTACCTCAGGAGTCAGAACATGCTAAATAGGATTTAGAACAGTGCAGCACCTAAGTTAGCACTTAATGGGAAGGCAGAAAAGACATCTATAAGCATGGTTTTATTTAAATGTCAATGGAAGAGGATGGAGAGACCTGAGAGGTCCAGAAATAGATTAGAGTGAATGCCACCTCAACACTCAAGTTCCCTTTCATGATTTAAAAAAGTACCCTGTCTTCTTCATGGAAGGGTTGTGGAGTCCAACAGGGCACTTCGGCAGTGCTTTCACAAGAGGCAGATGTCCTCAGAGCACCGTGAGAGTTCTAGGTACCCCACACCTCACTGTCTTTTCAGATGACTGTGATGCAAGCAGGGTGCAGCTGGTAACGGAGGCTGGAGTAAACTGCAGTCGCTTCTCCATACACTGCCTTCTCAGAGGCCCTGGTGGCTCTGCTTACTTCCGCCTGTTTTTTTTCTTCTGCTCCTTCCGTTGCTGTGCTCTTTGGTCCTTCTTCATCCTTGAGTCCACCACTTTGAAATGACCTCTGACTCCAGCTGGCCGGCGCACTTTGCGGCCCACACCTTTTTTGGCTACAACATAGGTGACCTGGCGTTTCTCCTTGCCAAGCCCAGCCTTCTTGTAGAGACTGTAAATGGAAGAAACAGTTAGCTTTCTGGCACTTTTTAACCCTTATGTATCTTTGTGGGTGACCTCCCCCAATTACCTTCGAAGCTGTGCCACTTTCTCTCGTTCTGAGATGTCCACCGTGTTCACCACAGCTTCTGCTTTCTTCTTGGTTTGTTCCAGCTTCTTCAGCATCTGTGTGAGGCCCTCAGTCAGGTTAATCTCTTCCCCACCCCTGCCCCACCTACCCCTCATCTGGGGCAGCCCCAATACCTACCCTGCGTTTCTTTCTGGCTTTAGCCTCAGCCACTTTCTTGATGGGACGTGCATTAATTTCTCGCCACCGTTTCCGATAATGCTCCACCTCCTTCTTGTCAATAGGCAATTGCCGTATCCTGTGCTGCTTTTCCTCCTGCACAAACCACTCTGGAAGCTCGCCTTCATCCTCATTAAATGTGTACCTAGGTGGAGAGGATACAGCCCTAATGACACTCCATGCTTTGTAGAGAAGAAACCACCACTTACCCCCCACACTGGGCGACTTCTCGTGATTTTCTTCCCTTACCGGCTGAAGGAGTTATCTATGAGGTCTCTCTTGGCCTTTTTGGAAGAGGCAATAATAGCACCTAACGCAAGGCCTTCGGGGTCCAGTATCCGATGTTTCACTACAGGGGGAGGACAAAAGTCCAAGTTCGATTCCCAAACATCCATGGTCTCCTCCCCTCCCACTGGGTGCAGACCCACTCACCTGGGTCCTCAATAGGCACTATCTCAAACCCATCATCCTCTGACTTGGGCCCACGGCTTCGCTTCTTACCATGGCGTGGTTCCCAGCTGCAGAAGAGAAGAACTATGTGTCCACCATCACTCCACATCACTCTGGCCCACTCCCACCTCGCCTCAACCCGGGTTCCTATTTAAGACTGCGTGGATAACTTCCAGAAATCCTACCATGGCTGTACCAGTTAAATCAGAATAATCAGTATTTTTAAAACTCTCAATCTACAGGCAAGGTTGAAAACACCCAACTTAGAGAAAAGGTTAGAACCACTGCTTCCTCATTATCCCTTCTCCCATCAGCTGCAACCACTCACCTCTCTTCATCCTCACTGCTGCTACTGTCACTGTCCGAGCTGTCATCTTTCTCCCCACCCCCAGGGCCAGTGGCAGCCTCTGTCCCTGGTGGAGCCTGTGTCTCCTTAAGGGCCTCATCCGGGCACTGGGAAGGTTTTCTCTCTGTCTTCAAACTAGAAGGTGGTAGTGGTGGTGGTCGTGGTGGCAGCTGTGACTGCCCCTTCCGGCGGCTCTCATACAACAGCTGGGCCTGACGGATCTCCAGAGCCTCGTCAGCATCATCCTCAATCCCACTGAAGCCATCCTGTGATAGGGGAAATCCTCAGGTATCCTTCAGCAGTGAATGCCAATTCCGAGTCTTGACCCCTAGCCTCTTCTTACCTTTGAGAACCACAGGCTGGCTTGTTCTTCCTGCAGGACCCCCTTTTCCTCCAAAGGCACCAGCAATGGGTTCTCTTCTTCATCCTCCTCCCCTTTATCATCTCTTGCTTTAGCAAATCGTACACTGTAGCCCCAAGGAAAGTGGGTTAGTGGGCCGGTACCCTGGAGAACTCACACCCCTCCCCACCCAGTGCCTTTGGCAACACCTGCAGACCAGCCCCCACCTTACCACTTTTGGTCCTTTAGACTCTGAGGATCTCTAACCCCTGCCAGCTCCTCTGGATCCAGGTCACTATCCAGAGATGTATCATCATCATCCTCACCATCTGACACATAGATGTCGTCTCTTGGCAGCTCGGACACAAACATGTCTGCAGCACTCATATCTCCTTGTGTTACCTCCTCTAACAACTAAAGTTTGACAGAGAAACAGATCGAGGGTACTTAAAAGAACATACTGCTTTTTTTGTGTCCATTATCTTAGTTTCAGCAAACACATTATCTCCTTTTACAGACATGGAAGTGATGGGGCTGTCAAAACCATCCCATTCCAAACCAGACCACCCATCTGTTCCACTCAGCAGTCTCATCTTCAACGGTAGCAAAAATAGGTTTATGGAAAAGTATCCATAGCCTATATAGCATCACATTTTAAAATATTCTAACACATTTTCTCTAAAAACATTACCTCAAGAAAAAGGTTCTCCATCACCTTCTGAGAATGATATAATGTACGAATTTTGTTTCCACTGAAGAAAGGAGCCCAGGCAACATTTTTATTCACCCCCACGCCCTAGTAGGTAGGTTCTATTCTCTTTTACAGATGAGGGAACTGAGGCAAAACATGGATAAATGAATGGTAGTCTGCTCCAGAACCACTACACTTTCCTGTACAACAAAGATCTGGATCCCATTCCCACACAAAAGCCACAAATTGCCTGTGACACTGCTTTTATTTAAATCAAATTCCCTGTATTCACCATCCAGCAGCCAAGTGCACCAAGGTGCTACCTTGGTCTCGGTGAACTGAGGAGTGTTGCTCCCCTCCGAGGGAAGCGCTCCATCACCGCGCTGGTAACCCAGTTACCCTGACTGCACCTACCAGAAACAGCTTCTTGAAAAGAGTGCCTCTTGGTTCTTCTATTTTTACATATTATATGTGATACACACATTTACAATATTCTTACAGTATTCACAAATCTTCCTAATTTCATGTTATGTTTATGTTTCTTCCTGGCCTTTGAAACAAGGCTCTTGCTTGTTTTCCCAGTCACCCCTCACCGAGTCATATATTTATGGGTGGACACAGCAGCCATGAGCGGGGATCATGCAGCACACTTAAGAAAATGTTTAATCCCCGATCCCCTTCCAAATACACAAACAGATCCTCTGGTCTCCTCAAACTGTTCCAACCCGCCTCACCTGGTGACCCCGGATGGTGCGCAGGGAGAACATGCCAGTCTCCCCCTCATCTGCGATGGAAACCCCGGGAAGATCCATCTTCAGCTCCACACGCTCCCGCTGCTTTCTCTGCTCACGCAGCAACTTCTTTTTCTTCCTGAGGGGACAGTTGGAGGAATTATACCTGCCCAGCTCTGAAAATTGCTCAACCATTTCCTCATTCTCTTCCTCCATCCCCACAGAAATGCTGTGGGAGGTGAGGGGGGCAGTTCCCCAAACTCTTCCCTGCTCTCCTCACCTCTTTAATTCTGCCACCTCCTGGGCCTTCATCTCTGCCAGGGTCCGATTCAACTGTTCCTCCTCTTCCTCCTCCTTGGAGAGCTGCCTCGGGGTCCCAGCTGTTGAGTCCTCTTCATCACCTTCCTCCTCCTCTCCTGAGCTGAGGCTGACAAAACAGCCCAAGGAGTTTGGTTATTTCCTAGACACCCCGCCCCCAACACCCAGTCAACATCTACTGTGCTTCAGCTCCCTCCTCACCTGATGTCCAACGCCTTTGCTTGCTCTTTCAGCTTCTTGGCTACATATCGCCGAAGCTTCGTTCTCCAGTTCAGTAGGGACCTGTTCCAGAAATACCATTACAGACCTTCAATCTCCTTTTGTCCCTGCTTCCTCCTCTGTCATAGGCCCACACCCCAAATTTCCTATTTGAGTCACAAATCCTAGGGCTCAGGTTCCCAGCCCAAACCTCTAGCAAACAGCATTCTGTTCTGAGATCAACATCATGGCCTTCAAAGGCCTTTCCCTGCCTTTGGCACCTACACCACCCTCACATCATACCTAAGCTCCTTGCGCCCCAGCACTTTGATATCCTGACAGCACACCCGTATATCCTCAGTGGTAGCTGGATGCTGTGCCAACTCATCATCATCTAGTGAAATCTGTTTGGAAGGAGGGAAAGGAGTTGGGAAACATTCAGGCCATGTTTCTGAGGCTCCCTTCACCCTCTCCCAAGTCTGGGACTCACTTCACTGGCTTTGGAGAGGAAGTCAACCGGATTGGCAGCTCGGAGGAAGTCAGTGACTGAGGTACGATGATAGAGAGTGAGGTCACCCTCAGCATAGCCTTCAGCCTTAGGGAGGGAAATAAAGAAGGTTGAGTGGTCCCTTATGTGGTGTCTATTGGACCCATCAGGCCCAATCTCCCCAGAGATCCAGGACCTGAGAGTGACCACATTACTCAAACACACCTTTGGTTTCTTCTTAGTCACTAATTCAGTAACTGTCTTGGCCTGAACTTCAACCTCCTTGAAGGCAAATTTTGGGTCAAAGAATTTACTGTCAACCTTGTCAGGAGCCAGGTATCCTAAGATGATAGGATATATAAGAAAGTGTTAAAAAAAAAAAAAAAAAAAAGTGTGCTTTGGTAGTTAAGAAACGAGTCACGAGAAAGATGTGGTGCCCACTCACCTTGGCAGACTACAAAGATCTCTGCAGATTCATGGCGAGAGGCCTGGGGCTTGGTGGCCTGGACATGGCGGAACAGCTGCTGGAAGATCCATAGCAGGGGCTGATAGTCACGGGAACGGAAAACCTTTGTGATGAAGCAGCCACCACGGGCCAGGAAATCACAAGCCAAACGGAGAGCCATCAGTGTCAAATGGGCTGTGGGGGAGAGAGGATTAGCCGAGGACCAATGCAGCCTGAAAGGGCATGCCCACCTCCACCATCTCCACGCCCCTGGCACCTTGTGAGTAAGCGTCATGGACCCAGCTAGCCCCGACATTGGGGGCCCCATCATTGAGCACAACGTCCACTTTCCAGGTCTTCAGCTCCTTCCTCAAGGCCTACAAAAGAGGGAAGGGGTTATAGCAACAGAAACACAGGAATAGCTACAGAAGGAGGAGTCCCTGATTCAGTCATTTGTCCACCCAATCATTTGTTGAGTGCCCATCAAAGGCCAAATACTGTGCCTGGCACAGGGGAGAGATATAACACGTCTGCCAGAGTGGCGTGGCTCAGTGGTTGAGCTCAACCTATGAACCATAATGTCACAGTTCAATTCCCTGTCAGGGCACATGCCCAGGTTTCGGGCTCCATCCCCCATGTGGGTGTGTGGGAGGCAACCAATCAATGATTCTCCCTCACCATTGATGTTTCTCTCTCTCTTTCCCTCTCCCTTTCTCTCTGAAATTTAAAAAAAAGGAAAAAAAAAAGGAAAGAATACTAGTGAACCTTCCTGAAAATAACGTCACTGAAATCTCCACACTTCTTCCAATTTCAAACACCTCATTCCTGACCAAATAAAGGCGGGAGTGCACGAGGCATATCCCAGGCTTGCAGACATCATGCAAACACTGCCCAAGGCACAGTAAACATGAAAAGTCTCGCCTTCAGAAAATTTGGGTAAGAGGACCCAGGTGGATGTTTGCATAGAAAGGGGACAGGAAGAGAGAGATTCTTATCACCTGCCTACAGCGTTCCGTTGTGATGTCCTCTTGGAGTGTCACCACATTGGGAAGAGGCTTGATTGGTACCAGATCCACCCCTGGAAGAAGTCAGGTCAGAGTATTCCAAAAGGTTGCCTCAAGCATGAAGAAAGGAAATGTAGAGCACACCACCTTGTACTCCCACCCCCAAAGCACCACTGAACCACTGTCACTCACCCACAATAAGACTTGACACAGGCATAAACTTGGCAGCCACCTGCAGCCTATGAGAGAATAAAGATTAAAATACGCAGGACTACCTATTCCTTCCCAACCCTTGACAATATGAACCCTCTTCCGTGTTAGAAGGAGCCCAGCCAAGTGCAGTGGCCCGAGCACGTCCTGTGTACACGTTCCAAACCTCTGCAGTGCACGTTCTGGGGAGTAAGAAGCTGAGGCTGGTATTACTGTATCCCCCTCACTCCCCCAATGCAGCTCTCAGTCATCCCAGGCCGGATGGAGCCCAGAAACCAGCCGCCGGGAGTGACAGCGCGGGAGTTACGCACCATCCCCCCGGCGCAGCACACAGGTCCAGCAAGGCTCGGGCTTTCTGCAGGAATTGAAAGCGACGGTTCAGCTGAATCAGCTTGAAGGCAGAGCGGGAACGATAACCTGGGGGCGTCAACAAAATCAAGTCCACGAGGTGCTTTCCCGGCGGGATTTCTGCGGCCTCACAACCCACTGTCTCTTTTGCGAGAAAAACTCAATGTTCGGAAAGGGGGGCGAACCTGACAAGTCGCCCGTCTAGCTCGCGGAAGGCGCGACTGTGGCTCACCTGTCTCCTTTGCCAAGTGATAGAACTTGTCCCGCCGGCTCTTCCCGACTTTGCCCTTCTTGCCCATGGTGGGCCGGGGGAGTGTCACTCAACCTGGGGAGAAAGGAGAAACCGGACGTCTCTTCCCGGAGCGCTAGACTCCGCTCGCCGTAGCAATCACACGCAGCGCCTTGCTCCACATCACTCGCTGCCAACACGGATTCCACAACTCCGGGAGCAGCACATGGAGGCAGCAACGTACTTCCGCTTCCGCTTGCGTAGCACGCGTCCCCGGCTCCACGTTTTCTGTCACTTGGAGCGTGGCCCCAAAAAGTATTTTACTCTGTCGCCAGGTTTTATATAAACTGTAGGTTGGGATCAAGAGAGTAGACCACGTGAACTAAAACCGAGTTTCTAGAGATTTAGGAGTTCTGTGCCCTCCCAAAGCTCCCGGCCTCTCGTAGCGGCGCTGACCTCCGGTCCCTCAGGGCCCTTGTTATTTGTTATCATTCCCGCGCGCACCCGGCCCAATGACCCGGAAGCACTCTCTGCCCCGGTTTCCGGCTCCGAGTCCCTGCTTCTGCGCCTGCGCGCCGAGGCGGCTGGGATGCCGGCGATCTCCACTACAGAAGAAAGATGGCGGTTGATGGGCCAGAGCAGGTATGTGGCGGCGGCGGCGGCGGCTGGGCGGGGGCCAGGGCTGGCTGCGGAGCAGGAGTGATCCGAGGTGGGCCGCCGGCTGGGGCAAGAGGTCGGTGGGTCGGGGGTGGGTGGTCCAATGCAGATCGGGCCCTGCCTGGGACCGGATGTGCTGTGTCAGCGCGGCCCCGGGGGGTCAGGGCCAGGCCGGGAGAGGAGACGCGGCGGAGGCGGAGTGACATGAGCGATGGGAGCGGGAACGGGCCCGTCTGCGAGTCGCAGGAGACAGGAAACGCGTCCATCCTCCCGGCTCTGCCTGTGGTAATAGCACCCGGGTCGGTAAAGCGCCGGGCTCGGGACAAAGCGCTCCGTGCGTGTCTGTCGTCTCTGGGTCGTTACGGTTCCTATGAGGGAGGCGGCATTCGCATTCTGCTTTTAGTTTAGTCATGGGGTCAGGGAGGGCTCTGAAGAAATGCAGGAAGAGTTAGAACCCAAATCTGAAGCCTCCGTCCAGGCTGGAAGTGGCTTGGCTATGTAGCCTGTTGTTTAATAATTACACTGTGTCATCAGATGGAGCTGGAAGAGGGGAAGGCAGGCAGTGGACTCCGCCAATATTATCTGTCCAAGATTGAAGAACTCCAGGTGAGACGGGCTCCAGAGGGACAAAGGGAGCTGGCAGGGGGATAAATGGTTGAGGAATTTCAACGATCCATACAATCCCACTGGGGCCAGTGGGAGAATAGTTTGTTACACATCTTCCAGAGTCAAACAGAGGAGGCCGTTCCTTTGGGTAGACGCCTGATGGAGAGGATTTCACATAAAAGGGAGGACACAGGCTCAGGAGCTGAGGTTTATCAGATGGGGGTTGGGGTAGAGTGAGTGCAAGGGGAGACAGAATTGAGTCTGGACATTGCTGACACCAGGGGACTGAAAAAAGGAATTGGCCACACAGTGCTCTTGCCTAAAGAGGGAGCGGGGACCACAGAAATAAGGAGAATAACGAATACGCATTGGATGGAGGAAAGCCATAGGGAGTTTCTAAACTCCAGGTACATTTGTAGGTATTGTATATGGGTTTCATTTTTGAAATGCACTTGTGATTTCATACGACAGTCCTGAAAAGAGGCATGGTGTAGTGATGCTATGCCCACTTGCAGTTGGTAACAGAACTAGATGTTTTAAATGGCTCTGCCTAGCAGTTACTTGGCAGCAGGAGGGCTAGAACTTAGGCTTCTGACTCAAAGATCTTCCCACTGGAGCATGTTGATATGCCACCCTGCAAGAAATTGTCTACATGAGCCAGTTGTAATGTTGCCCCATTAGGGTTTGTTCTTCTGGACCAGTGTTAGACAAGTAGCCTTTTTTGATCAGAGGGGCTGCTGGAGGACAGGCCAAGGCCATTAGCATCATGGTGAATCTGAAACCTGAAGATGCTTGTCCTCTTCCCTCACTCGGTTCATACCAGCCTGAGGGTCTTGACCAAGATCTTAACGTCCTACTTTTTTCTGCCTCTTGAAACTTCTTGTCCTCCGCAGCTGATTGTGAATGATAAAAGCCAAAATCTCCGGAGGTTGCAGGCACAGAGAAATGAGCTTAATGCAAAAGGTGAGGGGGAAGGGAAGAGGGAAGGTTGGCTGTGGGCAGTTGGTCTGACTTCTGACTGTTCAGATCTCCTTGAATGACCTTCACATTGGTGCTTTTGTTTTCTCCCAGTCCATGGATATGGCTTGCAATGTTATATAGTTATTCACATGCACATCTCTTTCCAAGCCCCATAGCAACCCCCTTAAATAGAATTGGTATTTTCTTTTTGTGGCTTTCCCTTCCAAATGTGCTTAGTTCCTGGGTATTGAATTATCGGGGAGGGAACACCAAAGAAGCTGGGTGACCACTATGTCTGTTTCCCATCCAGTTCGCCTGTTGCGGGAGGAGCTACAGCTGTTGCAGGAGCAGGGCTCCTATGTGGGGGAAGTAGTCCGTGCCATGGATAAGAAGAAAGTGTTGGTTAAGGTAAAGGCAGCATCACCCCAGGGACCATCCGCTGCATTCCCATACCTTTGTGTGTAGCCTTCCAAGGACAGCATTCTGTCACATTATTCTAGGACTTATGGGTCTCCCTGGGGGAGGTTGGTGGTTTGGTGACATCAGGAAAAATCATGAGTCCTGTTTCTTTAGGTGCATCCTGAGGGCAAGTTTGTTGTAGACGTGGACAAGAACATCGACATCAATGATGTGAGTGCAGCAGATGAGATGGGAGTTTGGGTCAGTTCTCTCCACACAGCTTCCTGAAAGTCTCTCCCCTCTCCCAGGTGACACCCAACTGCCGGGTGGCTCTAAGGAATGACAGCTACACTCTGCACAAGATCCTGCCCAACAAGGTAGACCCACTGGTGTCACTGATGATGGTGGAGAAGGTGCCAGATTCCACTTATGAGATGATTGGTGGACTGGACAAGCAGATCAAGGAGATCAAAGAAGTCATCGAGCTGCCTGTTAAGCATCCTGAACTCTTTGAAGCACTGGGCATTGCACAGCCTAAGGTGAGAAGTAGGGCTTCTGTGGGAGGGCCATGCTGTTCCTCCTCACCTGTCCCAGGCCAGGCAGGGTGCAGGGTTTGGGGAGGGATAAGTTGGCCCTCCCCACTCAAGAGGGCTGGGGGAGAGATACTATCAGGGCACTGAGGAGGTTTGGATAGAAACACCAGAAGGGACCTTAACATTCATTCTTTTATATCTCTAAGCTTCTATTATGGGATCCAGCACAGAGCAAGCAGCATGTGTTCATTGAATGAAACATGGGGCTGGCTTTCTGCCCTGAGACCTGCTGTTTCCCTCTAGGGAGTGCTGCTGTATGGACCCCCAGGCACTGGGAAGACACTATTGGCCCGGGCTGTAGCTCATCATACAGACTGTACCTTTATTCGTGTCTCTGGCTCTGAATTGGTACAAAAATTCATCGGGGAAGGTAACTGTGGCTAGAAACATGAAAACCAAGCAGAAGGAGGGGGGGTGGGGTAGGGTAAGGGTAGGGAACTCAACTCCTAATGCCAGCTTGGCCTCGGCACAGGGGCAAGAATGGTGAGGGAGCTGTTTGTCATGGCACGAGAACACGCTCCATCTATCATCTTCATGGACGAAATCGACTCCATCGGCTCCTCACGGCTGGAGGGGGGTTCTGGGGGGGACAGTGAAGTGCAGCGTACCATGCTGGAGCTGCTCAACCAGCTAGATGGCTTTGAGGCCACCAAGAATATCAAGGTGAGGTGGTGTTAGAGATGGGAGGAGCTGAGGGAAGGCCATGGGTGAGGTGCAACCTGGGGAGGAGCCTAACTGATGCCACACCCCTTCTCCACTCAGGTTATCATGGCTACTAATAGGATTGACATCCTGGACTCGGCTTTGCTTCGCCCAGGGCGCATTGACAGAAAAATTGAATTCCCACCCCCTAATGAGGAGGTTTGTGATGGGCACTGCTGGGCATGGATCTGGCTGAGGGGGTAGACAGTGGGGCTCAGGTTTTTCCTCTCATCTCTAGGCTCGCCTGGACATTTTGAAGATTCATTCTCGAAAAATGAACCTGACCCGGGGGATCAACCTGAGAAAAATTGCTGAGCTCATGCCAGGAGCATCAGGGGCTGAAGTGAAGGTAATCAGCAGGCCCAGGAAAAGGAAGGGGCAGAGGCAGGAAGCTCTGGGTTCAAGGACACAGTAACAGCCTGTCTTCCTTTCCCTGCTCAGGGTGTGTGCACGGAAGCTGGCATGTATGCCCTACGGGAACGGCGAGTCCATGTCACCCAGGAGGACTTCGAGATGGCGGTAGCCAAGGTACAGGTCTCCATCTTTTCTGCCTTTGCTGACGGTGGCTCTAAAGCAGTGGGGATAGGGCCTGTGTTCACCCAGTTGGTAACTTAATGTTTTCTCTCTCTGCAGGTCATGCAGAAGGATAGTGAGAAAAACATGTCCATCAAGAAGCTATGGAAGTGAGGTGGATGGTCCGTGTAGATCCTCAAATAAAGCTCTGCAGGACAAGGCCTTTAGGACTTCGGTTTATTAATGAGTGGCCGCACTGTTCAATGACCAGGTCTGGGCACCACCAATAAACAAGGATTTATTTGGAAATTTCCAAACCTGCCAGAAGTGGCACTTTCCAAGCCCTAGGCCCACCCTTCTTACCAAGCTCCAAATGGCAATGAGTTCCCCCTCCCCCCTGCCCTCCACCAAGCACACACACCCATGCCTCAGGCCAAGCCAGAGAACGTGAGTGTCCCCTTCCTCTAGGAGGCTTTATAGCCCTGGGCCCAAGAGCTGGAGTGGCAGCCCTCTGGCATCCCAGGAGATGATGGCGGCCAGAGCCGCTTGCATAGATTGAGGAAAGAAAATAGGGAGGAGGCACCAAACAGGGCTCCCTGAAAAACCCCAACTTGCCCCCTGTACAAAAAAGTGGCTCCCACATAGAAGAACCTGCTCCCCAAATAGTGCAAATACCCAAAGAAAAGGAAAAAGCCAGCAGCAAGGCTGGGCTGGTTGGAATGGCAAAGAACTTTGGTTTAGAAAGGGTAGGAAGAGTGAGCTGAGTCTCTCTTCCTTGCCCAGCTCCCCAGAGCCAGCTAGGGCACTTGCCCCAAGGGGAAGTCTGTAAACAAGCAAAGCCAATGGCCTTTGGTTCTGAACCTTCTCCCTTACAATGGCAAAGCCAGGCCCCCAGTAGTCCTAGTGGGCCTGCCTGCAGGGAGCAGAGGCATTTATTGTGAACCCAATTAAAGCCAATGCGTAAAGTAAGTAATAAGGCTTTGGGGACCAAGCAACAAGGAATCCTACTGCTACATTTATGAAACTAACACTGGGAAGCTGAGGGTAACAGGACAAACCCTCACCCTGCTCCTTATCCTATGTGTCTGCAGCCTCAGATGGTGGTCCCTTCCAGGCTGAGAAAGGGATGATGCCTGGGCTGGGAAGAAAGGAAGGGATCCCTGAGCAGTTAGGTCAGGCGAATTCCCAGCACCTGTTCCAGTTCCTGCCTTCGCTGCTGCACCTGGAAGAGAGACCAGCAGCTCAGGCTTCTGCTGCTCACAACCACAGAAGGGCAAACAGGGCAGAGTCTCACCTTGGCAAAGATATGCCTCCCCACTGCTTCCTGGGCCCAGGGCTGGTGGTAGAAAGCAGCTCGTCTCTCCTCCTCAGGATTCCCAATCACATCAGTGATGATCTGCAAAGAGCCAGGAAAAAGTGGTAGCATAATTCCCACTCCTGAGCCCCTGGAATCAATAGTGATGGGGATAAAACCACCCAGAGTTTAACCTGGTCTCATCACCAGGAAAGAGGACCACACCTTGAGGTCTCGGCGCTGGGAACGGAGCCATTCCTGGATGAAGTCCTGGGGGTCAGTGCTAAAGCTGAGCATGAAATCCCTCTGGGTCTTCAGCTGGTTGATGGACTCGATGGTCTCATGGATCTGGGGGGGAGGGGTGTATATATATATATATGTCAGACTGGCCCCCACTTCTAAGGGGTCTATTTCCAGACCCAACCACAAAGGACTTGGGCAGAAATCCTATCCCAAGGTGCTACATGTATAGAAATGCCCAAGAGAATGCCCACCCCCAACTTGGGCCCCAGAGGAGGTGAGGGGGGAGGTACAGAGGGCCAACCTTGACATCAAGGGAGGCAATCTCCTGCTGATTGGTGGTAGAGGCCAGGAAATTGCTCATCTGGGCCTTGAGTGGGTCATCCACCTCCACATCAATGTCATAACAGGCTGTCTTCTTCTGGTCATTAGGGTCCACGCTGTAGGCAGCACGCAGGAAGGGAAGGATGAGTACATAGCAGTATCCATCCCACCCACCTGGGCCAAACCTACACACACTTGGGGAGCAAGAAACCAGACCTGCTTTAGATCAATCCAAAGGTAAATTGCTCTTTGCTCTTAGAAGAGCCTTCCCAGTGCCCTCTTCCCACTGACCTAATGACATGGTTGATAACAATGGGGTCTGGATGCTGCAGCAAGCCAGCCAGCTTCATGGGAATCTCGGAGAATCGGAGACGACCACAACTGAAGATCTAGAGAGAGTACCAAAGGTGCCTTTCAGGGCACGGGGGGGAAGCGGGTCCTCGCAGGGAGTGTGTGAAGAATGTGGCCAAGAGCTAGCTCAGTGGGGCTCTGGGACAACAGGCAACGCAGGGGCTGCAAGACCAGGAGGAGTTCCCAGCTAACCTGGCGGAAGTAACGGTTGCAGTTGATGTACTCGCGCTCATGCCCATCCTGCAGCTGGTTGTGTTTGATGTAAAGCCACAGGGCCTGCATGATGGCGGCCCTTGTCTGTGTGTGCACTCCCAGCAGCCTTGCCAGTCGGGGGTCCAACTTGTACTGAGGAGGCTGGGGATAGAAGGAAGTCAAAGGAGGGGTTCTTGTGAAAAACCAAAGCCACAGAATAGGGCAGGGACAGGAAGGGTTTATAATAAACCTGCCCCTGTCCCTGAGACATGGCCCCAGTCACCTGATGATCCAGCATGAGCAGGAGGGTACACTTGACATTGAGGTCTCCAGGCCGTTTCACCTGGAAGCCATCCGTTTCCTGGGTGGTGGGCATCCGATGCCACTGGCAGGGAGGAAGGGAGCACAGTTCATCACCAAGGGGTGGGCATGAACATACACTCGGCCCTCTCCAAGGGGACCGAGCCTATTTCTCTGTGCACCTGGCACATCAGCCTGTGCTCCCATGCCCCAGGTCCACTCTCACCTCCACCAGGTGGTTGTCAGGCCCGTATAGCTCCTTGTCTAGCTCAATGACGAGGCTCTTAAAGAATGAAGAGAACTTCCTCTTCTGTTTGCTAGGCTGGGGAGGGAAAGGGGTGAGATGGGAGTGCTGCTGAGCTGTCAAAGCTAAGCTATGCTAAGCCCCCAAAAGAGGAATACTGTTTCAGCCCTGAAGTTCAGGGTACTGAGGATTCTTAGGCCCTGAAGGAAGCAGGGAAGAATGAATGACTGGAAGTAAGAAAAGGACTCTCTGTGCAGCCCCACTGTTAGCCAACATAGGATTTTTAATTAAAAAAGGGACACCCTAACTGGCTTGGCTCAGTGGATAGAGCGTCGGCCTGTGGACTGAAGGGTCCTGGGTTTGATTCCAGCCAAGGGCACATGCCCAGGTTGCGGGCTCGATCCCCAGTGGGGTCATGCAGGAGGCAGCCAATCAATGATTCTCTCTCATCATTGATGTTTCTATCTCTCTCTCCCTCTCCCTTGCTCTCTGAAATCAATAAAAGAAATATATGTATGTGTGTGTGTGTGTGTGTGTGTGTGTGTGTGTGTGTGTGTATATATATATTTTTTTTTTTTTAAAGGGAATCCCTTCAAGACACTTTACTGTCACCTGTAGGAGAACTGTTGTAATAACCATACAAATCTCCCAACCTCTGACTGGCTTGGCCCAGTGCAAAGCTTGACCGGGAGCACTGCCCTTTCCCTCAGGTAGGACTTCCCAGAAGTGCCCAAGTGGCTGGCCCCAGTCTTAAAATCCACACAGGCCATGTCCTCTCCAGATAGCTTCTTCCCCAACTCACATCATCCAGGAGTTTTCCTTCCACTCGGAGTTCCCAGGAAGCCACCTTGTCCCCTGATGGGGTTCCCCCAGGGGTCCCTGCAGTTCCTGCACTGTCACCTTCCGCCTTGCTGGGACTGAACGTATTGGAAATGTAGATCCGCAGCTTTCGTTTTTGCTGAAAAGAAGAAGACAGAGGTGGACCAACATGTTAGAAAACAATGCTCCCCCTGTCTTCCCATCTGAGCTCATTCAACATCAATACTGAGTGGCAGCTATGGGCCAGCACCTTGTTAGGCTCCTTATCTTGGCCTTCAAGGGACTTCCAGTTTTATGGGGGGAACAGATGCACTATCCACAGTTCCAACACTGTGGAATCAGTGGACACACAAGGTGCTATCAGGCAAATCAGAAGCCTCCAGCTCTTAGCTACACTAATAAAAGACAAAGATGCTAACTGACTGTACCTTCGCTATGCCCTAAGCCACGCCCACCAGCAATCAGAGTGACTATATGCAAATTAACCCAACCAAGATGGCGGCCAGCAGCCATGGAGCTGGAGCAAGCAGGAGACTTGGTTGCCTGGGCGATGGAGGAAGCCAAGCTTCCTGCCTGCCCTGAGCCGGCTGTGGCCTCCGCTCATGGCAACAGTTTCAATTATAGAAGACAAATAAACCCCAGATACCTGCTTCCAGCCAGCCTCCACTTGGAGCTTGGGTGCCTGGGGTTGTGACCAGCCTGCAAACAGCCATCAGGCCCTCACCCAGGATAGCCACACCCTCATGGGGTGAGGGTCCCCACTGGGGGGCTTAGCCAGCCTGAAAACGGCCCTCAGCTCCTCACCCAGGCTGGCCAGGCACCCCAGCAGGAACCCCCACCCTAAAGGGGCTGTGGCCAACCTGCAAACAGCCATCAGCCCCTCACCCAGGCTGGCCAGGCACTCCTATATAATAAAAGGATAATATGCAAATTGACCCTAACAGCAGAACGACTGGGAATGACTGGTCACTATGACACACACTGACCACCAGGGGGCAGATACTCAATGCAGGAGCTGACCCCTGGTGGTCAGTGCGCTCCCACAGGGGGAGCTCTGCTCAGCCACAAGCCAGGCTGCCGGCTGCCAGTACAGTGGTGGTGGGAGCCTCTCCCGCCTCCTCAGCAGCGCTAAGGATGTCTGACTGCAGCTTAGGCCTGCTCCCTGCTGACAAGTAGACATCCCCCAAGGGCTCCCGGGCTGCTAGAAGGATGTCTGACTGCCAGCTTAGGCCTAATCCCCCAGGGAGCAGGCCTAAACCAGCAGGTGGTCATCTCCCAAGGGGTCCCAGACTGTGAGAGGCACAGGCTGGGCTGAGGAGGCGCCCCCCCCCCAACCCCCCCGCCCCGAGTGCACAAATTTTTTGTCCCCAGGCCTCTAGTTTTAAATAAAACTCATCACAGCCCCAAAACATTCTCGTCTCCTAGAAAGCCTTCACCATTCAGGGGACTGTGCTAGATTATTATTAAAAAGAAAGAGGAAGAAGAAGAAAAAGAAAAGCTCTAGGGATAGGTAAGGAGAGAAGAATTATCCTAATCCTCCAGTTT